CCTGAGCTGGGGAAACCCGCCAATGGGGACTTCAGCTACCGCTCTCCAGGCTACCGGGAGGTGGTGATCTTGGAGGACCCTGGAGTGCCTGCCTTATGCTCATGCCCAGCATGTGAGGAAAAGCTGGCGCTGCCCACTGCAGCCCTGTACGGACTTCGGCTAGAGAGGGAGGCTGGAGAGGGGTGGGCTGGTGAAGCTGGCAAACCTCTCCTGCACCCGGTGCGGCCTGGGCACCCATTGCCTCTGTTGGTGCCTTCCTGTGGGCACCACCATGCCCCGATGCCTGACTACAGCTGCCTGAAGCCACATAAGGCAGGCGAGGAAGGGCATGAGGGCTGCTCCTATGCCATGTGCCCAGAAGGCAGGTATGGGCATCCAGGGTACCCTGCCCTGGTGACCTATGGCTATGGAGGAGCAGTTCCCAGTTACTTCCCAGCATATGGCCGGGTGCCTCACGGCTGTGGATCTCCAGGCGAGGGCAGAGGGTATCCCAGCCCTAGTGCCCACTCACCACGGGCTGGCTCCGTTTCCCCTGGCAGCCCACCCTACCCACAACCCAGGAAGCTGAGCTATGAGATCCCTGCAGAAGAGGAAGGGGATAAGTACCCATTGCCCGGGCACCTGTCCTCAGCAGGACCCTTGGCATCTGCAGGTGAGGGGCATTGGAATGCGAGTGCACAGGGTGGAGGAGGGTCCCGGAAGATGGTGGGGAAGCCAAGGGGGCACAAGATAAAAAAGAATTCAGCCGGACAGAAGAACCGCCTCCTGCTCACAGTCCTTCCTCTTCCCTTCACAGTGGAGTCACCTGAGTCAGTGTCCTGGAGGGAGGGCCCCAGTGGGCACAGCACACTGCCTCGGTCTCCCCGAGATGCCCAGGGCAGTGCCTCTTCAGAGCTGTCTGGTCCCTCTACACCCCTGCACACCAGCAGCCCAGTCCAGGGCAAGGAGAGGTACGCAGAGGGGCTGGGGCTGCTCGGGCAGGCATTGCTGGGGTGCGGGCAGCCCGAAGGAGGGACGCTACTGACCCATCTATCCTTCCACCCAGCAGCACCCGAAGACAGGACACCAGGTCCCCCACCTTGGCACCCACTCAGAGACTGAGTCCTGGCGAGGCCTTGCTCCCTGTTTCCCAAGGAGGCACTGAAAAGGCACCTGAGCTGCCAGTTAGAAGTGGGCCTGAGCCTCAGAGTCCTAGCCCCTTCTCCCCAGCCTCCCCTCCCAGCTCACCCAATGACTGGCCTCAGGAAAGAAGCCCAGGGAGCCACTCAGATGGTGCCAGTCCTCGGGGCCCTGTGCCCACTACACTGCCTGGTCTCCGTCATGCCCCCTGGCAGGGCCCTCGAGGCCCCCCAGATAGCCCAGATGGGTCTCCCCTAACCCCTGTGCCTACTCAGATGCCCTGGCTTGTGGCCAGCCCAGAGCCACCTCAAAATTCACCCACACCTGCCTTCCCCCTCACTGCATCCTATGACACCAATGGCCCCACTCAGCCTCCACTTCCTGAGAAACGCCACCTGCCAGGGTCTGGGCAACAGCCAGGACCCTGGGGTCTAGAGCAGGCATCACCACCGACCAGAGGTACCAGTCACCATGTCACCTTCGCACCTCTGCTCCCGGATAATACAACCCAACTGCCAGGTATAAGGGCCTTGAGAGCAGGTGGGGTGGCCTGGAGAGCCCATTCTCCCAGAGAGGGGCACTAGGGAGTCCTGGGGATCAGTGCTGGGGTCTGAACTCAGCCCCTCCCTGTCCTAGACCCCCCTACACAAGAGAACCAAAGCAATGTCAAGTTTGTCCAGGATACATCTAAGTTCTGGTATAAGCCACACCTGTCCCGTGATCAAGGTGAGAAGTAGCTTGTCCCCATCCCACCCTACCCTCCAGGGCATCTGCCCTGGCTTGGAAGCCCCATCTAAGTTGAACTCCTTGACTTTACCCTTAGTGAGCCTCTCACCATCAGGTTAGACTCAACATTGTTAAAGCTCCCATGAACTCTGAAGTTCTGTCCCCAGACTCCCACATCCCCCTACCATGGCCATCAGGTCAAAAGAGCCCTGGGTGCTTGTTGGCAGAGGAACAGGGTGTATGGGCTACTGTGCAAACTTCTCCCTGCTGCCCCTTACCCAAATACCTTGCAGCCATTGCCCTTCTGAAGGACAAGGACCCTGGGGCCTTCCTGATCAGGGACAGTCATTCATTCCAAGGAGCCTATGGGTTAGCCCTCAAGGTGGCTACACCTCCACCTAGTGCCCAGGCCTGGAAAGGTACAGAATACCCAAAGTTGGTGGGGTGGGAGTGGAGTGGGAGAAGCTACAGAGGCAAGGGGGTGTTGGGGACACTCAGTAATGGGAAGAGGCAGGAAACGACCTTTGCTGCTCAGGAGAGATTCCCATCAGGGGAGAAGCTGGGAGCCTGGAATCGGGTAAAGCTTTACTTTGTTCTTCCTTACCCTCATCTCAGGGGACCCGTTGGAACAGCTAGTCCGCCATTTCCTCATTGAGACTGGGCCCAAAGGGGTGAAGATCAAAGGTTGTCCCAGTGAACCCTACTTTGGTGAGAAGCAGGAGCCTAAGGAAAGCTCCACAGGGCCGGTTTAGGGAGAGGCCAAAGCACCTCAGGAGGGTAGAAGGGAGATCTGTGGGCACCTCAGGACTTTCTCACCTCCTTCCCCACAGGCAGCCTGTCCGCCCTGGTCTCCCAACACTCCATCTCTCCCATTTCCCTGCCCTGCTGCCTGCACATTCCCAGCAAAGGTGGGTGCTCCCCACCTCTCCTTACTCCTGTAACCAAAGGGAGAATCCAGAGGTCCTGGCCTTCCCTTGGGATGGGAGGAGTTGTTCTCCAGCAACTGGGGAAGCTTCTTCCCTCCTGAACTTCCTGTTGTTCTTCATTTCTCTCAGATCCTCTGGAAGAGACTCCTGAGGCTCCAGTGCCCACCAACATGAGCACAGCAGCAGACCTCCTGCGCCAGGGTGCTGGTAGAGACCTCTCTTTCTTCTCCCTCTCTATGGGCACCAAGCGGGGCATTGTGAATGGGGTGGCGACTGACAGCCTTGAGTGACAGGCCCTGGCAGGTGCACTTAACCTATGAAGGTGGGAGAGCCCCATATTGGTTAGAGGGTGGGGAAGGGAGTCCCCTAGGTTTGTTTTTTTTTTTTTTTTAATATATTTTTTAGTTGTAGATGGACACAATACCTTCATTTTATTTACTTTTATTTTTTATTTGTGGTACTGTGGAAGGAGCCCAGTGCCTCAACACATGCTAAGCAAGTGCTCAACACATGCTAGGCAAGTGCTCTATCACTGAGCTACAGCCCCAGCCCCAGCCCCCAGTTTAGGTTTTCAAGCATCATAAACATGGGCATCATGGTGAGGGAGGGCGGAGAAGGCAGATCCTCAGGCTTCTTCGCCGGGTTTCTAACTCTCTAGATTATCTCCTAGGTGACTCTAGTGCGTTTTGACAGCACTGGCTGGGGAAAGTGCAAGAACTATTGGGGTGGAAGACTCAGGGGTGATACAAGACCTGGGTTGGGTACCATGCTCCTTCCTGACCCATTTCCTGCCCTCCTAGCATGCAGTGTACTGTACCTGACGTCAGTGGAGACAGAGTCACTGACTGGCCCTCAAGCTGTGGCCAGAGCCAGCTCTGCAGCTTTGAGCTGCAGCCCCCACCCAACACCAGCTGTTGTCCACTTCAAGGTCTCAGCTCAGGGCATTACACTGACCGACAACCAAAGGAAGTGAGTCTGCGTGCCCACCCCTAGGGAACCCCATGTAAAGCCCTTGGGGGCCCAGATTTCAGAATAGAACCTTCCTTCCTCACCCGCGCCTTGCAGGCTTTTCTTTCGCCGCCATTACCCAGTGAGCAGCATCACCTTCTCCAGCACTGATCCTCAGGACCGAAGGTGAGGCTCCCTCTAAGCCCCTCCCCGCCCTACCCCCTTCCAGGAGCTGTCCCCTGGGCTATACTCCTTCACAATTCTTCTCTGATTGCAGATGGACCAATCCAGATGGGACCACCTCCAAGTAAGCCTCCCCCACCAGCCCAAGCCTCCTCTCCAAGGGACAGGGTATCTCCATCCTCCCCAACCTGGCATGGATCAGCTCCCCCACTCCCCCAGCCAGGGACATTCCCCTGTAGAAGAGATGCAAGCGCCCCACCCCTTTCTGACTTTGTTCCCGTAGGATCTTTGGTTTTGTGGCCAAGAAGCCGGGTAGCCCCTGGGAAAATGTGTGTCACCTTTTTGCGGAGCTTGACCCAGATCAGCCTGCAGGTGCCATTGTCACCTTTATCACCAAAGTTCTACTAGGCCAGAGAAAATGAAGGAAAGCCACAAGCTCAGCACACATCAACACTGTGCCCCTTCCAGCACCCCACAGCCCTCACTTCCCCTGGCCCCAAACCAGGAGCCACCACCCTCCCTGAGGAGTGGGGATTGGGCAATGGCTTGGGCATTGCCCTTCCCCCAACCCCAGCCAGCTAAGCTAAGTGGATGGGCCCATGAGATGACCTTGCATGTGAGCAGAAGGCAGAGATGGGCGTATGAGGGTGAGGAGGCATCAGCAGTTAAGCCCTAAAGGAAATCAGGACAGCCCCACGAGCAGGAGAACATCAGCCCTGGAGGGGAACCAGGTCCTGTCAGCTCCACCCAGCAGCAGGTCCCAGCATGGCAGGGAGAGGGAAAGTCTGGGGAGCAAGTCACTCCCTCCCTCTGAACAGAGATCAGAATGGGATCTCAAGAATAAGGGGAAAAAAGAGAGTCTATTTTTGTCTATAATAAAGAATTTCTATAAACTTTTGTAGGAGTTGATACCTTATTCACAGAAGATCCGAGCCACATGCGTCCCGGGGCATACCTGAGCTCCCTGGGGGCATTCCAAGCACATGTGATCCCCTCCCTATCCTAACAGTGGTCCACATCTGCCCCCAGGAACAAGCTGCCTTCAGCTGCCACTTGGCCCTGTCCCCTCTGTACTGCAAAGAATTCCTGTTCCAGCAATACTGATAAATACAGAAACTCCATCTTTATTGGCTGTATAAACATCTCTAATCTGTACATACATTTCATACATCATAGTGCAGGGCCTGACAGAGGGCCAAGGGGCCCAGCAGCACAACAGCACGCCCACTTCCCCACAGCCCTACCCATTGTGCAAACCAAGGCCAACAGCTCCTGCTCCTTCTTCCTCCCAGCAGAAGTCAGTTTAGGGGAAGGGCTCAGGGTCAAGGGGGTAGAGGGAGATCCTAGGGCTTGGGAAGAGGAGGGTCTATGTAAGTGCTAGAATCAAACACTGAAGCAAAACAGGCAACTGGCACAAGCAGCAAGCTGGGGCAGGCAGGGAGGGGGCAGGCAAAGGGGAGTGAGGTGCCAAGCTGCCTCTCCAGGCTCACTTGCCACAGCACGAGATGTGCCCCGGAGCCTCAGTCCAGGAGCTAGGGACAGTGGTGCAGGTGAAGAGAAGATGGACAGTGAGGCAGGAGCAAGCCTGGTCCCACATCATCTCACAGCCCCTCCTCGAACACTGTACCATCTGCGTGTGCACAGGTGCGGGAGCCAGAGACTCGGATTCTCTGCAGGATGATGGTGCCTGAGCAGGTTGGAAGTGGGTATCTCTCAAGGGAAAGAATGGAGACCCAAGAAGAATCTATGGGGCAGCAGCCAGTGAAGGGAGAGGTGGCCCAAGAGAGGCCCCCTAGCCAGCCAGGGGGAGGACAGCAGCAACTGATTCACTGTTCACGGTGAGGACAGGGAACAAAAAAAGAATTCAAGGGGAAATACCACGGTAAGTAGGAGATGGGCTGTCTCTACTCCACCCTCTGCAAGGGTCATGCCCCGATAGCAGTTGAGCCAGGGATTCATTCCACTCATGGGACCAGTGAGAGAATGGGGCTGTAGGTACACACTGACCATAGTAAGTGGGACCCACTGATACAGCAACACCATTCTATGGGCTTCTTCCTGTCCAACCAGGGACTCAAGCCCAGCAACTGATGATAAAGGTGACACCAGGTCAGAAAGGTGAAGTCTGATGGCCTGGATTGGTAAGGGGAAAGTGACTGTACCCCAGGGCCTGCTGGGTAAGCAATCCTGTGGAAGTCAGGAACCCCTGGCCCTGCAAAGGATGCGCAGAGGGAGATGGCGCAGGTCTGGAAAGCCCCTAGCCACTCAAGGGATGCAGGTCAACTTTGACTTTCTCCCCACAGCTCAGCATTCCAATGGTGGGGAAAAAACCTCCAGAAGGTACAACAGCATCCTTCTTCCCGATGATCTTGCCATTCCGGGTGAAGAAAACCTGGCAGGGGGTGGGGGTGGGCGTTGCAGAATGGTGCAAGTTCTGGCCTCTTCACTTTTTTTTTTTTTTTGGTACTGGGGATTGAACCTAGGGGTACTCTACCAACTGAGCTAAATCTCTAGCCCTTTTCTTTTTTTTATTTAGTGACAGGGTCTCACTAAGTCACCTAGGCTGGCCTCAAACTTGTGATCCTCCTGCCTCAATCTCCTAAGTAGCTGGGATTACAGGTATGCGCCACTGTGCTCAACCTCTGGCCTCTTCTCTGCAAGCTGGAGTTACACATGCCTGAGGTCCATCACCTCCAACTCCTGGCATGGGCTCCAGGAGACACGTAGGGTGATATGAGAAATGGCCACGAGAGGGCATCCTGAGGCTGGAAAACAACTACTGCCTCGTTTTTTCAAACCCAATGACCTCAGGACACCCTCAGGGCAGCACCAGACCTTGCCCTTTCCCACCCTGGTCCTGGCCCATAGTCCTAATCCCACTAGTAGCCAACCCCTGCCCAGCCCCAGGGCCCAAGAACAACCCCTAAATCACTACTTACCACCACCTTCTTGCCCTCATGCTCCTGTTCTATCTCTTCCCCATCTTCTTCCTCTTCCTCTTCCTCCTCTTCTTCTTCCCCTTCCTGGTGCAGGTACATGACATTCCGAACGTTCCGAACAGCCCGCGCAGTCGGGGACAGGATCACTGTGTCACAACTGTCATCACTGTCCCCTAGGAGACCAGAAACCTGAGTCCTTATGGAACCTCCACTCTGCCCTGAGCAGCCTGGCTCTTCCCCATACCACTCACCCTCACTGTCCAGAATATAGTCCCGGGGAAACATGATTCCACAGCCCATAATGTCCCCTTTGTAACAGCGTGGTCCAAAGGGGTCCCCCACACCACTGCCATGGAAGATCTTCCCATCATCTGTAGGAGGAGGGGAGAGGACACACTTAAAGGAGGCACTGACATGTCCCCCATCCCCACCAAGGCCAGCCTAGACAATTTAATAATACCTGCCTCAAAATGAAAAAAGATGGGAAGATGTGGAAAGGGGCATAAGATTAAAAAGAAAAGAAAGAAAAGGGACATAAAACTGGGCACAGTAGCACAGGCCTACAATCCCAGCAAATTGGGAGGCTGAGACAAGAGGATTGCAGCTCAGGCCAGCCTCAGTAACTTAGGGAGACTCTGTCTCAAAATAAAAAAGGGGAAACTGGAATTCAGTGGTTAAGCACTCCTGGTTTCAATTGATTCCAAAAAACAAAGGGGGGGGGTGTGTTGGGAGGTGGGACAGACTATCCATCAGCTAAAGGGAGAACTATTTAAAAAAAAAAAAAAAGGGAGCTCAACCCTTTGTGAGGAGTAAGCATGCAAGGGAGGGGAGTGGAAAGATGAGACCAGGAACCAAAGCTCAATTCTCTTCTCAAGAAAGCCCTAAAGGAAATGGAGCACACCAAAAAAAGAAAAAGAAGAATCGGCAAATCTGCAGGAAGGGCGCAAAGGGAGCCAACTCAGAGGCCTGGAATGTCCAGTGTGGGCCCAGCTCGCCCGCCCCTGTCCTGCTTCCCTGGCTTTTAAGGGTTAGAGGAAAAGCACAGATGAGGAGAAAGCATAAGAAGCATGAGAAGAGGAAAGAGACCATTTATAAGTGATTACGAAAATGGATGTCTCTCTGCCTTTATCTCCCCCACAACCCCACATTCCCAGGGCAGCCCTCTACTTACCTGCATGATAAGCCACAGACCCTCTGCTCCAGCCAGGGTGCCTATTCTTGGGATAATCCTGCACCAAGAAGGAAAAAAAAAAGAATTCATGGGACCACACACATAAAAGAGAATAGGAGAGGCGGGACACAGTGGCATGCCAGTAATCCCAGCAGCTCAGGAGGCTGAGACAGGAAGATTGCAAGTTCAAAGCCAGCCTCAGCAATGGCAAGACGCTAAGTAACTCAGTGAGACCCTGTCTCTAATAAAATACAAAAATTGGGCTGGGGATGTGGTTCAGTGGTTGAGTGCCCCTGAGTTCAATCCCTGGTACCACCCCCCCAAAAAAAAAAAAGGAAAAAAAAAACCAGTGAAAGTGACAACTGAGACTACAATTTTTTGGAACAGGTTATAATCCAGACAGCTGTGCACCCACCCCACAGCCTCTCATGTCTCAGGCACTGGAGTGGTGAGGAAGATGCTCAGCTTTCAAGGCCAGGGCTGCAGTCTCCCAACACCCAGGCCTGGAGTTGGGGCTGGGGTATGTGGTACACAGCCTAGGCCCTCCTGGTTTTCCCAAGAGCTTCCTGACTTCATCCCAACAGCCCAAGAGCTGAGGGGGCTTCATAGGAAAAAAGTCCAGCATTTGTGCCCACCTTCCGGGCCAGCCCCAAGGCAATGTAGCATTTCTCTCCAGGGTCCACAATCTCCACCTCGAAGTAGTGGCTTCGGGTACTCAGCGGGTGCCGGGCCTGGGCCAGTCCTACATCCACAATGCTCTTGCCCTTCCCCAAGTACTCCAGCAGCTATGGAGGAAGAGCAGTCGGTGATTAGGGGACTGGTTGTCATCACACTGGAAACCTGGTCAGAGGCAGTCTGGGTACCAGTTTCCTGTGTCTGAAAGGAAAAGGATGCTACAGGTGCAACATGGCCTAAAATTCTAGGAAGGCATGGAAGAACAGGGACAGGGGTCAAAGGCAGCAGCATGAGCAAGAGGAGCCTCTTGCTGAACCCACTGCCTTCCTAGAACCAGACACCCCCACCCACACAGCTTGGTGAACAACATGGAGTACCAGAAAGTATGCTGGAGGCCTCTAGGCTGGCATTCCTTCCCTGACTAAGCCCATTGACCCTCCCTGCAGGGAAAGGGAAGAAAAGAAGCTGGACAACTTTCTCAGGGGGCTTCACAGGGACAGGGGACATGCAGAAACCAGGTGACAAGTCCATGTATTTGGGGGAAGAGAACAAGCTGAGAACCCAGTTCTGCCCAGAATGTGACTGACATAATCTCTCAAGGTCTTGGTTCACTTGGCCTTAAACAGAGCTGCTCATCACAGGGTCAGAGAGATGCTGAGGGGAGCCAGGAACCCAGAATGACCAGTTCTACTCCTTCATTTCCTGGAGGGGAGGGTCAAAATGAAGACAGAGGGCAGGGTTTCCCGTTTCCAGGCCCTTGCTGCTCTTTCAGGTAGGAGAGGGGAGATGAATGATGGGTTCTCGGGGCTCTTCAGTCCTCCTGCCTGGGCATGATGGGGCGGCAACCCCCAATCTGGGAGGATTTATTTATCAGTTGTCATGGTTATAGAGGGGTTATGACTCAACCCCATCCCCTCTTTCCCCCCACCCTCAGCATCACCTGGGATTCCTTAATCCCCTTTTAATTAGCTCAACTGTCCCTCGAGACTTTCTTCTACCCTCCCACCCCTGCAGGCTTGCAGAAAACATGTTCCCTGGGGACCTCCTCCACTTATCCTTGGCAAGCCTTGGGACGCAGGCCTCCTCACCCCCCTCAAGATTCCTGCCTGAACAGGAAAGGAATTATGCTCGCCTGCACCATCATGGAGGTTTGTGCTGGCCCTGCCTGTTCATCCCCTTTCATGGTGGGAGGACAGGGGCTTACACTGCTCAGCCCTAGATACCCCTGAGAAGTGAGGGAGGATCAGGAGAAAAGTCAGAGGTGCACAGGAGGCTACCCTGATCCTGGGCCCAGAACCGCTCTGCCTTCTGTCCACCACCCTCAATATGCTCCTGTGGCCTGGGCTCCTGCTCAGCATCTCTCCCCAGCCAGATGGGAGGGGTGTGGCTTGGCCAGTGCACATTAACTCCTTTCCACTCCACCCAGTCCAAGCAGCCCCCAGCCCACCCTCTCCACCCAGCATTGCAGAACTGGGTGGGGGACCCCACAGCTGCCCTTGACCCACTCCATCCAATTGGCCTGAGTGTAGGAAACAGAGTGTTCTCCAGTTCCACAGCCAAAAGGCGGCCGATCCAGATTCTGATCCTTGGGAAAAACCCGCCCAAATATTCCCTCTACCTCAGAGGCAGAAGGCAGCTGGTGTAGTTCTAAGGCGAGGGTGGGGGCTGCTTCCCAAAGCTAAAAGGCCAGAAGAACAACCTGCGCTGACATAGCAGAGGGCTCAGGTTCACTGGTGACATCTGGATAACTGGGCTCTTGAACAGCATGACCTCTTTAAGAATGGAACCACCCTCTCTTCAGTGGAGAAGTCACCAGAAATCACTTGTCCCCCACCCCAAGCTCTCTGGAGTCTTCTCAGAGCAATGAGAAGGCACAGTGGAGAGTTCGGCTCCTCTGATGGCTGCTTTCTTGAGTACAGTGCCTTCCTCCCCTCCTTGGGCCACTACTGTTAGGAACCCACACTGGGTGCAATGTTAGCTCTAGAGTCTGAGTTGCCAGCATCTTCGTGTGGGTCCTTCAGTCTGTGCCTCAGATATCTCAGTTTGAAAGAGAATCCAAAAGATTCAGGTTCAGGTGCTAACTCCTACTACTTCACAGCCATAACCTTGAACAAGTTATATTCACCTCTTTAAGCCTCAGTTTCTTCACCAGTAAAATAGGGACAATAATTCCTACATCTCGAAAACAGCTGAAAAGACTAAATGAAGTGAGTGTTAAGTGCTTAGCATGGAGCCTGACCTCTGGTAGGGGACAATACACATTCTACCTCCCCCTACAACAGGAAATGGGAATTATATTAGAACTACCAATCACAAAGAAGGATATGGTCTTTCATTTCGACCCTTATCTCCAACTAGAATGACCAACCAGAACCAATGACCACTCCCCAATCACTCTACTCCAAGCATCCTCCCCCTCTGCATGTCCCTCTGAATCTTTGGTGCAGGTAGGGGGAACCCTTTCCTTGGAACCTTCAAGCTGCCCTGACTTCCCCCACTGGTGAACTTGATGCCACCCCGAGGAGGCTACAGATCAGGGTGCTCTGCACCCGACACCCTCCCTTGCCCCTCCTCCCTGGCCGGTACCTGCCCTCCTTCCTTTGCCAGCAGAGACCCTAATCCCTCTTGACAGGAGCCAATAAGGGCTCAACACCTGAGGGCCCAGAAGCAGCTGAAACAGGAATCAAGTACATGCTCCCCAGCGGCCAGCTCAGGCCCCAACACGGTCTCCTTCTGGGTTGGGTCTGGGAAGGACCTCTGAGAGGGTGGGGCCTCTTTCACCTCCCTGTGTTATCAAAGGCTGCCTGATCTGTCGCTAAGGAGTTGTCAGAAGAGATATAAACAATAAACAAAGACAGATTAAGTCTAATACTCCAGCTGAATCCACAGCCCCCTCACCCTCCACACAGGACCTCACTCTGTAAGGCTGGAGGGCAGCAGCAATTTTTCAACAGCCCTCTGAACTTGGATAAGGGGAAACTGAGGCCAAAGAAAGCAGAGAAAGAACTCCACTCAGGAAAGAGCCACATCTGCCCCATACAAAGACTCAGAGCAAACATAACTAAATATTAACAATCAATCCAGAGAATAGATCTATGGGATGTTCTCTTTACTTTTTCAACCTTTCTGTAAGCTTGAAATTTTCTATAATGAAAGGTTAGAGAGAGAAAAGAAGGGCCAGGAATTGAACTGACTCTACTTTATGGGAAGAAACAGTGAGAAGGGAGAAAAAGGGATCACTGAGACCCCAAAATTGAGAAAAGAGATGGGAGTAAAAGAATACAAAGGCAGTCAAATAAACTTACTTAGAAGGGCCTTGGCTAAAGACACTAGACAGGAGAATTCCCAGAAGAGAGGGAATTTAAATCTAGGGACTTCAGATTCAACTCATGAGGAAGGGAGTGGAAAGACAGATGACTGTCCACAGAAGAGCAGGGTTGGTGACTGGGAGCTACAGTACAAAAGAGTATCGTTACTATACGTAGCTGGCCTAGGAAAAGGTCAAAATTCAAAATACAGATTCTACTGAATGCAGATAGCTTTTATATCAAACGAAATGAGTCTAATCCTCCAGCAGTATCCACAGCTCCCACTCTTTACATAGGACCTCATTTTGCAAGGTTTAGGGGCAGTAACAACTCATATCATAAAGTTGGAAAATCTTTTTTTTTTAGTTATAGATGGACACAATATCTTTATTTTATGTATGTATGTGATGCTGAGGATCAAACCCAGTGCCTCATGCATGCAAGGCAAATGCTCAACCACTGAGGCACAACTCCAGCCCAAGTTGGAAAATCTTAAGTCAAACTACAGGTTGGGATCATCAGTTTTAAATGGTGGAAAAGATAGTGAATAAGAGTCAAAGAATATCTGAGTCTACTTTTGCTACTAGTTAGCTAACATCTGAACAAGTCTCTTCACTTTTATCTGCTACTATTTTTTTCATTGAGCTATTTCAATGATTAGGGGAAGGGGCTACTATCATCTTATTTGGGGGCTGAGGATACTAAATGTCTTGCATACTGAAGAATTGTCCCAAGTAAATCATGAACAATCTCCCATGGAGAAATTCTAGACTAGGTCAAATCTAAGGCTCTACCAAGTCCTCATGGTTCTAAAGCACTCTACTGAGAACATCGCACAGGACAGGAAAAGACTGCAACAGCAGCAGGGGCCTGGAATTCAGGGAAGGGCTCCCCAGTAGAGGGGGACATAAAAAAAAAAAAAAGGAGGGGCAAAGAGGAGAAACAACTCTGCTAGACATCTTTAGAAAAGAGGCGATATGGAATGGCTCAAATGATGTCTCCCTGGGTCCCTCCAGGCTGACACAGCTCTGATTGCTGGGTTAGAAACACGGTGGGTGAGGTTGGAGCTGTAGCTCAGTGGCAAAGCACTTGCCTGGCATGCATGAGGCACTGAATTCAATCCTTAGCACCACTTAAAAATAAATAAAATAAAGGCATTCTGTTCATCTACAACTACAAAAAAAATTAACAAGAAAGAAACACAGTGGGTGGTAAGAAGGGACAGGATGGGGAGGCAAAGAGATGAGGTGGGGGGCTGGGAGGCCCAAGGCAATGAAACAAATCAGGGAAGAAACCACTCAACCCTCTTATGAAAGATGGGACAGTTGGCAAGACTAGAAGAAGGTACATATCTCTCAAGAGTTCATACCCACATCTGCCCAAGGGGAGCAAGTACTCAGAGAGCAAGCGGTCCCACCCTGCTAGCTGCCCTAAGCTAGGGTGAGGGTCTGATAGAAGAGCTAAACTCTATAGCCTATGTCTAAGAAAGAAAAAATTCATAAATGAGTGGCCTCAGGGCACTGAGGGGAGGGTGGGGAGGAAGGAAGGCTATTTATAAATGTCTACAGGATTCCGTGTCAATTAGAAAAGATGCCTGGGAGGAGCTGGGAGCAGAGTGGGGACAGGTCCAGGCAGGGAAAGGATGCCAGGAAAAAACTCTTGAGGAGAGGTCAGAGATGAGAGCTGGAACACTGCCCTGGCTCAGGCCCAAGTTCAACTATGTAGATATTGTCAAAATTATGGAAGAAGGGGAAAAGAAAAGAAAGCAATGAAAGTCAAGGAGTAGGCATCTGAGGTCTTTTGATTCAAAGCCACAGTAGCCCCTGGACCCCAGAGCCAGAGGGGTACACAGAGGGGAACGGAACACACTTTCTACCATTTTCCCTGAGTTCTGCTCACCCTGAACTCCACAAGGGAGAGGACTTGCTCATAATCCACTCCCACCCCCCACTGCTTCTGTTTTCCTATCAAAGGCTGATTTGAAAACAGCCTGGGTAGGGGTCAGAAGGCCAGAGGGTGGAAAAAAAGGCCAGGCTGGGAGCAAGGGGCAGCAGAGGGACAATTCGAAGTGGGAGGCCTGAGCAGCCCAGTGGAGGTCAGGGCCAGACTTGACTCAGTGTCCAGTCACTCCCAACACAGCAAGAGACACTGAAGGCAGACTAGAGGACTTCCCTCTCTCAAGGTTCATGCGATTCACAAGAGTGAGACAAAAGTAGGTCTCTGAAGAAAATGAAGACAACAAGCTCCAGAGGCTCAAAAATTCTCCCTGACTCTTCTAATCCTCAATAAAATGGTTGGGGAAGAGAAAAGAGACTGAAACTGAAGCTTATTCAACAAAGATCTCCAAGAACCTCCCCCCACTTATATGGGGCTGGTGACCACACCTGTCCCACAGCATCTTGAATGGAAAGCTGAGCTAGCATCAAGCCAGGAGGGGAATGCAGGCATTCGGCCTCCAAATCAGCCCCCAGCCCTTCAAAGGCAGGCAGGCGGAGCAGTAGATGGCACCAGACACTGAAGGAATCAAATCAGTCAAAGACAGCTTCCATACTTCCCAAGAGTCAACGACTAGCCTGAGACCTCAAATGAAAGAGAAGCGAAAATAAAGAAATCAGTGCTAAAGAGAACATGGATTTGGACTCCAAGAATCATGTCACGGGCCCAGGCTATCCTGCCCAAACACCCACTTCCCAAAGCCCTGCAAAAAATACTGTCCAGGCTCCCGATTCTTAGCCACTTAGATGCGTTCAAATGTCCACAGGGGTTCTTCCCAGCCCTCTCTGCCCCCACTCCCACTGCACTTTACTCACAGTCCCGCAGACTCTGACATCATGCAGCCGGCCCCATTCATCCTCATAACTATCCACCATCATAATGCTGTCATCCTCACGGCCCAGCTCAGCATTGAGGTGCAATCGCACCTCCTCACCCAGGGAGTGCATGCCGACTGCTGGGAACAGTCCATCTGGTGACATGGGCATGATGGTGGAGCCCACCTGCAGTGGAGGAAGGGAGAAAACTTTGTTCAGAGCCTCTCTTTTCAATTTTACTATAACAACTCACTTTTGCACAGCTCATCTAATTCTCACAAGGGCACTTTAAAGATGATGTAACCAGCTGGGAGTGGTGGTACACACCTGTAATCCCAGCAAGTCGGAAGACTGAGGCAGGAGGATCACAAATTCAAAGCCAGCTTCAGCAACTTAGTGAGGCCCTAAGCAACTCAGTGAGACCCTGTCTCAAAGTAAAACATAAAAAGGGCTGGGGATATGGTTTAGTGGTTAAGTGCAGCTGGGTTCAATCCCAGGTACCAAAAAAAAAAAAAAAAAAAAGATGATGCAACCAATAATTATGACACATACTGACAGATTTTAAAAAGAGATATAGCCAGGGCTGGGGTTGTGGCTCAGAGGTAGAGAGTTTGCCTCCCTAGTAAAGCACTGGGTTCAATCCTCAGCACCACATAAAAATTAAATTACCACCTATGACTAAAAAATAAATATTAAAAAAAAAGAGGTATAGCCAGGTGTGGTGGCACATACCTGTAATCCTGGTGACTCTGGAGGCTGAGGCAGGAGGATTACAAGTTTGAGGCCAGCCTCAACAATTCAGCAAGACCCGGTATCAAAATAAAAAAGAAAAAGGGCTGTGGCCAGGCACAGTGGAGCATGCCTATAATCCCAGCAGCTTGGAAGGCTGAGGCAGGAGGGTCACGAGTTCAAAGCCAACCTAAGCAAAAGAGAGGCACTAAGCAACTTAGTGAGACCCTGACTCTAAATTTAAAAATACAAAATAGGGGCTAGGGATGTGGCTCAGTGGTCAAGTGCCCCTGAGTTCAATCCCCAGTACCATTAAAAAAAAGGCTGTGGATATAGCTCAATGGTAGAGTATCCCTGGGTTAAATACCCAGTATGGCAAAAAATAAAATAAAAAATAAACAATCCAGAAGTACAGAAAACTTTAAAATTTTGCTAAGTACTCTCCTGGCAGAGCAAGGTATCCACAGAGCTAGAAGGCAAAGACAAGTCTCTGGACTTACTGTCAGTACTTTGGGGACATGTATGTGTGCACGGCAGTGGGAAAGTACAGAGGCATAGCTGCTAACAGGGCAGGACACTCAACCAAGGCCTGAGAAAGCAACTGTCCAGGGCAGGAGAGGGAGCTGGGTAAAGAGAGAAAGCTGAGTATCTCTCCTTTCTATTTGTTCTTGTCCCAACTCTTCACCACTACTAGTCTCTCTCTGGAGAGAAAAGGGAAGGAGAAGTGAAAGAAGGAAAATCAACCACAGAAAGGATGCGTTATCCCTGAGAGCACACAAGTCAAAAACCCATAGGGGCCCTCCAGCCTATGCAGTCATGCCACATCTTCCCCGGATTTGTTTGCTCAAAATCTTCCCCCACGGCTGGGGATATAGCTCAGTTAGTAGACAGCTTGCCTTGCATGCACAAGTCCCTGGGTTCAATCCCCAGCATCACAAAAAAAAAAAAAATCTTCCCCCAAGTCACCCAATTCTGCTCCCACATTTTCTGCTCATCTTCTACTTACTCACTGACTTGCCCTCCAGGCCTATCATCTGGGGCACCTAGCTGCCTAGGCAGGGAAAGTATCTTCGACACACAAGGAATTTCAGGTGTATCTGAAGTTGGATTGAAGGAGATGGGAACCAAGTACATGTCTCTCTGGGCAAACCCCAGCCAGTGGACTCATCCCAGTTGCTCCCACAAACCCTTGGGCACCTTCAAGTCACTGGAATCCACCCAGAATTTCCTACTCACCCGCTTGCCATTTTTGGTGAAGAAGATCTGGGCAGTCTGCACATCAAAGGACACAGGCTCAATGCCACAGCCAATCCGATCCCCAGAGTTGCACTTTGACCCAAACTGGCGGCCCTTGGCTCGACCATTGTACAGCCTGTAAAGTGAGTGGCTCAGACATGAGATTAACTGCCCCCCACCTTACCAGATGTTCCACTCCGGATGGCATCCATCTGTATCCTGGCATGACCTCCACCCTCTCCCCAAAATTTGCACACCTGCAAGGGTAGCCACCAGGCCAACTTCTATCCTGACCAGAAAAGCTCTATGAAAACACCCAAGACAGGAGAAGGAATGGAAAAATTGTCCTTCATACCTACAATTCCTAAATCCACAGGAAAGGGGTTAGGTTCTATAGGGACCACTTACTTGCCATCATCAGCATGGTAGGCTACAGAGTCAGGCAGCCAGCCAGGCTGGTGGTCCAAGCTATAATACTGAGGAACCAGCCCCACAGCAATGGTGCCCCGGACACCACTGTCCACAATAGACACCTGGAGGGAAGAGAACAGGGCACGGTTATCAGGGATGGGCAATGAAATGCACTGATGCAGGTAGGGAGGAAGGGGAGTTTAATGATCAAAAGGCTTAATGAGACAAAAGACATGGAAATCAGAGAAAGGACCGGCAGAGAGAGAACTGGGGAAGCTGGAGTCCTACTTTCCCATGATTACTTAGACAATTATTTCTGAGCTATGGAAAAACATAGGAGTAGACAGTGGGTTTGGATTATGGGGTAGGAAAGCAACAGGGTCAAAGTCTGGGATATGAGTCAAAGTTCACCTAGGTGAGGGGCAGAAGAAGGGACAGGGTGGTAGAACTCCAGGGCCCCTATCTCTCAGATCAGGGGCCACACTATCCTGCATCCTTTTCCCAGCTAAGGCTAGCCTAATGGAAAATGAAAAGGACAGGATCATTAATCCAGTGAAGATACTCCTTGGAACTTGATGCTCTCACCCCTGACTTCACCCCTGCTCTGCCCAACCACTGCTTGATCACCTCGAAATAATTGCTGTCCTTGGTCAGGGGTCGAGAAGCCACGTAGCAGCCAACTTCACCAGAGTTGCCATGGTAACTAAGGGAGGAATGAGGGAAGAGTTCCATTAGCAGCCAGGCCCAGGAATGGGGAAGAAGGCCTCAGTATCCCAACTGTACCCTGCCAGGCCTAGCACAGAGGAGAATCCTTCAGACCACATTTCAGGATATCTGCATCCCATCACAACACAATACTTAAGGTCACTCACCCCTCCCACCAACTACAGCCAGGGTCCAATGCAACACAAGCCTAGCTTCTTCAGCTCCAGTGGGGAAATGCAGAGCCTCCCTCAGTTGCCTAATAGGGGTCTCACAACCCTGTCTAACCTCAGACCCTCATGCTGCAGCTTCAGGCCCTTGCCTCTGGCTCTGTCCTCAGTGGATCTGGAGAACAGCTGGTCTCTAGCCTCTGTACCAAAGCCCTTTGCAGACTGGAAGACAGTTACTCAGTCCCCAGTCCTCAGTTTTCTTGACTCTAGGCTAAATAATACTACTTCCTTCCCCCATCAGTGACTACTCTGTGAAAGAGGCTAGGAAGGAGTGAGAGAAGGTGTTCAAGACAGAAAAAAAGATAAACCTACACAAACCAAAGGGTTGGAAAAACACAAGAGGTGGTGAAAAGAATGCATTACAGAACCGTCCTTCCCCAAACAGGAGGGCTGCTGCCTTTGAACAGGCTATCCTTCACCAAGTCCAGTTTCTGACACATGGGCAGAAGGGGACTCAGAACACTCAAGACTCATTACAGTCTTCTCAACAAAGAACTCAGGGTACTCCTATATTTGACCTGTGACTCAATGAGAAAGGCAGAGGGGAATACAGGGTAAAGCAACACATACTGCTCCACTCAGAAAGTCAACACATTCCCCTGTGTAGACAGTCCCCTTCCTCTGAAAAAGCCCCCCTTTGCCTCTTAAGATCTGCTACAGAAAGGAAAATGTGGAACCATTCCCCTAAACTCACCTCAAAGTGTCTCCATCTACAAGAATATGTTTAAACCTCTCCTGATATCGGAAAGCCCGAACCTCTCGAATCTCCCGGATCCGCCGACGCCAATTCAGAAACCGGTAGTGCAGGTTGAGGTCATCCATCTTGTTCATGAGAACAAACCTGCTGAGGGAATAAGAGACTGAGGAGGAAGCAAGGCTCTGAGCAAAGCACCTCATCCTGCTCAACCCTGAATGTGGAGAGGGCACTAGACTTGAGGCCCTTTGCCCAATTATGACTTATCTCATAATCCCCATCCTTATCCTTTCATTCAACATTTAATGCACTTCTACTGTGCACTGTCTTAGGTGCTAGAAACAGAACTATGAACAAGATGAACGGGATTCCTGCTCTGTCATAGGGTTGCCATTTTAGTCAGTGGAGGAAAAAACAGATGCTGTGACAAAGAATGGTGGAGGAATGGTCTCTTTGAGGAGGTGACATTTGAGTTGAAAAGGAGCTGGGCATAAGACAGCCCAAGAAAGAGCATTCCAGGCACGGGGGAGAACCAAGGTACAGGTCCTTGGGTGGAAGAGAGGTGGCATGGTAAAGAAAGAGAAAGCCAGGGCAGGTGGTGTGTAGGGAAGGTAAGAATGAAAAAGAAGATAAGAAGGCAGGAACCAAGTAGAGGCCCTATAGACCATGGTAAAGAGTTTGAATTTTATTCCAAGTATGATGGGAAACTTCTGGGGAGTTTTAAGAAAAAAATGATATGATCTTAAAGCTCACTTAGGCTTCAGGCTATTGCAGCAGTTCAGATGAGACATGGCATCCATTAAGATGGTAGCAGCTAAGGAGAAGAATGGGATGATCTGGGTATTTAAACAATCTGCAGGGGCTGGGGGTGTGGCTCAGTGGTAGAGTGCTTGCCTAGTATGTGTGATGCACTGGGTTTGATTCCCAACACCACATGCAAAAAAATAAATAAAATTTTAAAAAATTCATCAAAAACAAATAAAAAAAATATATAAAAAACCCAACAACCTGCAGTACCAACATACAACTGAATGAACAAATTTCTCCTGAGAGCCAAAAGTGAGATACTCTTCTCTTCCCATATCCCAACTTCGGACCAGATCTTTGCACACAGTAGGTGCATGGCAAACCTAGGCTGGGTTGAGTTCAATCCCAATGCTCATTTGTAGTAGCTACAACCCACCACGTGGCCCAGAACAGTAGACACCTGTAAGGCAGCCTAAGACTCCATCCCGGGCTCTTCGCCAGGTCTAAACCCCAGATATATGCTAGCGCCCCAGACCTTTGCGCATCTGCTTATCCTTGAAACCCATAGCGACTTCGCTGGGCCCCGCCTCCACCCCAACGGTCTAGTTAATCAGACTGGACCGGGTGGTAACAAGGCCCCTGCCTATCAGTGTGCCACGCCCCGTCTCCCCAGGCCTTGCACCAGGCAAGGGTACACTGCGGGAGGAAGACCAGTGACCAGAGCGCAAGGCCCCGCCCCTGGCACCGGAGCCCCCGCCCAGGACCCCAGCCTCGGACTCTGGGGAGACCCGAGGCCTCCGGGACCCCGCCCCGATCCCCGCCTACCGGGGCCGCCGCGTCCTCCTCATCCATAGGCCTCTCAGCTCCGCACACAAGCTCTTCGGCCGCCACCACCACACACATCCGGGTCCCCGCCCTTCCTACGCTCCTAAAGACCCGCCCCCCACCACCCACCTTGGCCAATCTTCAGATGTCTTTGATGAAGGGCACCTTCAGCAGCCAATCGAAGGACGCAAGCAGAGTGTGGGGCGCGGCCCGGTGAGCCGGGTACCGAGCGCTGGGCCGGGTCTAATAAACCCGGTATCAGGAGCACGGGAGAGGAGACGTGGCGGCGCAGACCTGGGAGTCCTGGGCTGAGGGGGGCTGGTCAAGGGGTGGCTTCTGCTCGGAGCAGGGCGGAGCGGGGAGGAGCGGGACGGGGCGGGGCAGGTTAGGTCGTCTGCTCGCACAAGCTTTGCATTTCCTGAACGCTCATTCTGTGCCATATGTGATGCTAAACGCTTTAACAGGAATGCCCCTTTAATCTACTTACCACCCTTATTAAATAAATTTTGCTTTTATCTCCTTTTTACGCATTAGGAGGCATAGGCTGGCCTCCGTAGCCCTTGTGCTTAATTGTTACCATGTGCTTTATTCTTTTTCAAGCTCCATTTCGTGTCACGTTCGTTCATTCTGAAAAGGACATTCCATTCCGGGACGGGAGAACTTAAGATGCAAAAAGGACAGTAGCATGAAACCCAATGCTGTTCAGGAGCCGAGGGGTTTGATAGGAATAAATGAAAGGTCGGATCGGAATATGAAAGGAGGAAGAACAGTAACATTTATTGAAAACCTTATTGCCATTGTGGGGACTTCGCACTCTTGAAGGAGGACTTCGCCTGTTTCCTGCTATCACCAAATCTTTTTTTCCATACAGAAAGATTTCTCCTTCCTCTGTAGCACCTTATTTATTTACACTTATAACAGTCTTATTTCGATTGCGTAGACCTATCTCTGCTCCTTCAGACCTCAGATCTATTTCAATCTTGTCCTAACTAAATACTCTAAAGTGTTGAATCCAAAAGGATAGAGCCTTTCACATATCATACACAAACAGTGGCCACTTGGCATAATGAAAATGGATGACAGAAAAAGGGTGAATAGAAAACAGGGAAACTTGGATTAGAGCTTCAGTTCTGTGTGACGGAAAGGTCACGGTCTTGTTCTCATCCACAAACAAGAATTATTGAAGCATGTGTCTTCTTAGCTCCATTCTTGCCGCTGGGGTACACAGTCTTGAATGGCTACCCTACTCAATCCAACTCATCTCCAGCTCCTGGGTCCTGCATCAATTCTCCTCCACTCCTCTTTCTGAGTTAGGAAAATACATCTAGTTTTGTCCCAAGAGCGTGTGACATGTGAGTGGCTGCCAGAGTCCTATCCATCCCACATGGGTCTCCTTTCATAAACTACCTAGCTAACTAGGTCCTGACATGGAGGGAATTGGCAAAAGAAGTTGTTTCCAGAATGGCTGATGGCACTAGGAATTTCCTCATCTTCAAATTCCAGATATAGGACTGGTCCATTGGTATTTTCAGGACCTAATTGGTAATTTGTGCTTGGCATCTACATGTAATTGATTAAATAGCCTTATTGAGGTATAACTGACAAACAATAACCCATACATATTTTTTTAGAGAATTTTAATATTTATTTTTTTTTAGTTTTCGGCGGACACAACATCTTTGTTTTTGTATGTGGTGCTGAGGATTGAATCTGGCCGCACGCATGCCAGGAGAGCGCACTACCGCTTGAGCCACCTCCCCAGCCCAGCCATACATATTTAAGGTGTACAATTATTATGGTGTATATACACCCATGAATATGGCTCCACAATCACAATAGTGACTATATCATCAGTTCCAAAAGTTTCTTCATGCTCCTTTATGATGCTTCCCTTCCACCCTCCCATCTCTAGGACACCACTCACCTGCTTTTTTGATAGCAGTTTATTTACATTCTCTAAAATGTTATATATAAGAGGAATTATACATAAGTGGTATTTGGAGTGTGTGTCTGACTTCTTAGTGTAATTATCTTGAGATTCATCCATGTTTCTTGCACCAATAGTTTATTCCTTTTATTGCAGAATAGTATGCCATTGTTTGGATATATCACAATTTGTTTATCCATTCATCTGTTGATGAACATTTGGTTGTTTCCAGGTTTGGGCTATTACAAATAAAGGTATTATATTGAGCTGAGGTTGTGGCTCAGTGGTAGAACACTCGCCTAGCAGTGCAAGGCCTTGGGTTCCATCCTCAGCACCATGTAACAATAAATGAATAAAATAAAGGTATTGTGTCCAGCTGCAACTAAAAAATAAATATTAAAAAAATAAATAAAGCTATTATAAATATTTATATACAATATTCTTTGTACAGACATGTATTAGCTTTCAGTTACTGTAACAATATAAGTCAACTTAAAAAAAGGAAAGGTTTATTTTGGCTCAGTTTTGAAGATTTCATACAATAACTGACTGGTCCCATTGCTTTGGGACTGCGGAAACACAGTCCATCATGGTGAGCAGAGGAGGCCTGCTCACCTCATGACCTAGCATTAAAGAGGCATAAAGGAAGGCAACCCTCTCTTTGGACCCCTTCTTGCAGGAGCTCCACTTCCTATTTCTTAAATAAATCCTCTTACTTTGCTCTTAAATGAAAAAAAAAAAAAAAGAGGGAAAAAGGAGGGGACTAAGTTACCAATACCCCCTTCAAGAGCACATCCCCATGTAACTGAGACATTTCTAAATAGGCTTCAACTTTAAAGGGGTCACATGTCACCTCCCAATAGATTCAGAGGCTGGTAACAAGTACTTAGCACATAAGCCTTTGGGGCTACTTTTCCAAACAGCAGAACATGTGTTTCATTCTCTCTGGGGCATATATCTAGGAATGATTGCCTGGATTACCCAATAGAAGCATGGCTAACTTTAAAAAAATTATATATAGTTTTTAGTTGATAGACCTTTATTTTATTCATTTATTTATATGTGGTGCTGAGAATGTAACCCAGTGCCTCACACATGCTAGGCAGGCACTCTTCCACTGAGCCACAACCCTAGCCCCATGACTAACTTTTTGAGAAGCTTCCAAATTTGTTTTTCAAAGTGGTTGCACCATTTTAAATTCATATAAGTACTGTATCAGTATTTGGGGTTTTTTTATACCTTTATTTTATTTATTTATCTTTATGTGGTGCTGAGGATCGAACCCAGGGCCTTACATGTGCTAGGTGAGTGCTCTACTGCCGAGCCACAATCCCAGCCCCCTGTATCAGTATTTTAGGTGTTACACATCCTTGCCCATACTTGGCTGTGGTCATTCCTTTAATTTTAGCGGTGTGTGTGTGTGCGTGTGTGTGTGTGTGTGTTTATGTGTGTATGTGTAGTAATGCGGATTGATTCCAGGGGTATTTACTTTACCACTGAGGTACATTCTCAGCCCTTTTTTTTTTTTTTTTTTTTTTTTTTTTGAGACAGGGTCTCACTTAGTTGTTCAAGCTAACCTACAGTGTAGCTGGTTAACGGTGTCATTCAAAGAGCAGAAGTTCTTAATTGTAAAGATGGTATGACTTATCAAGTTTTATCTTATGGATCATGTTTTGGTGTTATGTTTTAAAAAATGTAGCCAGTAGCAATGGCACACACCTGTAATCCCAGTGACTTGGGAGACTGAGGCAGGAGGATTCCAAGTTTGAAGCCAGCTTCAGCAACTTAGCAAGGCCCTAAGCAACTTAGAGAGACACTGTCTCAAAAAGGGCTGGGGATGCAGCTCAGAGGTAAAGTGCCCCTGAATTTAATTCCCAGCACCAAAAAAAAAAAAAAGTATGTTTTAGGTTTTAATTTGTCTATAATTCATTTAAAATGTTTTTTAATTTTAAACGATTTTACACTTGCAAAAATATTACATGGAGTTCCATATGTCCTTCACCTAATATTCTTGAATATCAACATTTTATGTAACCATAGTGCAATCATTGAAACTAATATATTAATGTTGGTACAATTATTTATAGACCCTATTCAAATGTCACCAATTTTTCAATTAATGTCTTTTTTCTTTCACAGGATTCAATCCAGGATTCCACATTACATTTACTTATACCTCTTTATTCCCCTCAGTTTAGAATAGTTTTTTAGTTTGTATTATTCTTTTTTTCTTTTTTCTACTGGGGATCGAACCCAGGGACACTCTACCACTGAGCCACATCCCCAGCCCTTTTTATGTTTTGTTATGAGACAGGGTCTCACTAAGTTGCTGAGATTGGCCTCAAACTTCTGATCCTCTTGCCTCAGTCTCTTCAGAGATTACAGGCATGACACACCACAGTTAGCTATTTTTATTTTTTGTGTGTGTGTGTCTTAAATTTCTAGTTAGATTGTAAGTGATTTGAGAATATCCCCCCATACCTTTTTTTTTTCTAGACCCCCAGCTTCCAGTGCATCCAAAATCCTTCTGGAAGGATTTTGGAATTGACACAAGTAAATATTAGCCTTTTTTGGTGAGAGCAAAGGCAGTCCCAGGAGAGGGGGTTGAGAGGTAAATCCCAACTACTCAAGAGGCTAAGGCAGGAGGATCACAAATCTGAAGCCAGCCTTGATAACTTAGTGCTTAGTGAGCTCATGTCTCAAAATTAAAAAATAAAAAGGGCAGGGAATGCAGCTCAGTGGTAGAGCACCCCTAGTACCACCAAAAAAAAAAAAAAAAAAAAAGTGGGGGGGAGTAATTATTTAGCCTGACTTTTGAAGAAACAAAAACTATATATCTCATACCCTGAGGATTTAGAAATAAATAAGACAGGGCCTTGGCTTTCAAAATTGTAGTCTAGGGCTGGGATTTGGCTCAGTGTAGAGTACCCACTTAGCATGTGAGAGGCCTTGTGCTCTATCCCCACCACCCCCACCCACCACACCCACAAAAAGAACAAACATCAGACAAAATAAAACTGAGAAATATCATACAAAACAACTGACCTATACTCTTATTTTTAAAATATCTTTTTAGTTGTAGATGTACACAATACCTTTATTTTATTTGTTTATTTTTATGTGGTGCTGGGGAATGAACCCAGAGCCTCATGCATGTGTTAGGCAAGTGTTCTACCACTGAGCCACAACCCCGGGTCATATTTGTTTATTTTTATGTGGTGCTGAGAATAGAACCCAGTGCCTCACACATGCAAGGCAAGCACTCTACCATTGAGGTACAGCCCTAGCCCATGACCTAAACTGAATAGCCTGGCATGGTGACACACTATGGTATCACCTGTAATTACATGGTGACCACTTGTAATCCCAAAGACTTGCAAGGTTGAGGCAGGAGAATTACAAGTTCAAGGCCAGCCTCAGCAATTTAGTGAGGCCCGAGGCAACTTGATGAAGACTTGCCTCAAAATAAAAAAATTTTTAAAAGGCTGGGGAGGTTGTGGATCAGTGGTACAGCCCTTGCCTAGCATGTGTGAGGCACTGGGATCAATTCTCAACATCACATATAAATAAATTAATAAAATAAAGATACATCATCATTTAAAAAAAAAATTTAAAGGGGGGGCCAGGGATGTGGTTCAGTGGTTTGGCGCCCCTGAGTTCAATCCCTGGTACCAAAAAAAAAAAATGGAGGGCTGGGAATACAGTAGCAGAACACTACTACTACTGCAAAAAAAAAAAAAAATGGTAATAAGAAATAAGAAATATAAAATAGCAACACAATAATATGGATGAATTCAGAGGAAGTTAAGACTTCTGTTGGCCCCTGTCTGCAAGGAGACTTGTGAGACCCCCAGCATAGCTTGGCATACAACTCTGGATATTCATACTGGAAGGATGGAGGAAAGGAGAAGTGCAGTGCCGTGAGCTATTCTGGGTTGTGCAATCCTGCTTAGACTGTAGGGAGAGACCAAGGGGGCAGTGGGAACCAAAAGCAGGGAGAATGGGCAGGAGGGCAGATGAGGAAGGAGTGGTGGATGTTAGAAATTAGCAGGGTGCCGGGATTGCTAGGCAAGATAAACTACCAGTGAGAAGTACAAATATCCCAAAAGGCACATTGGGACCCTGCAAGTAACCATTTCTCCCCCCTGTTCAACTTCCTATAGATTTTTCCATCTCATTCAGGAGCAACAAGCGGAAATCCAGGAGAAAGACCCTAGAAAGAAACACATGCAGAACAAAAACAAAACAAAGCAAACCATGCTGGGTTCAGTGGCTCACAGCTATAATCCCAGATACTCTGGAGACTAAGGCAGGAGGATCTCAAATTCAAGGCCAGCCTTAGCAATTTAGTGAGGCCCTAAGCAACTTAGTGAGAACTTGTCTCAAAATAAAAAAATAAAAAGGGGGGCTGGGGATGTGGCTCAAGTGGTAACGTGCTCGCCTAGCATGCGTGAGGCGCTGGGTTCGATTCTCAGCACCACATAAAAATAAAATAAAGATATTGTGTCCACCTAAAACTAAAAAATAAATATTTTTAAAAATTTTTAAAAATAAAAGGGACTGGGGGGGGACTGGGGTTGTAGTTCAGTGGTAGAGCGCTTGCCTAGCATGTGTGAGGCACTGGGTTCCATCCTCAGCACAACATAAAAATAAAGGCATGTGTGTGTGTGTGTGTGTGTGTATGGCGGGGGCAAGGACTGAGGATGTACTTCAGTGGTGGAGCACTGGCCTAGCAGGCACAAGAAAAAGAAAAGAATGGGGGCCTGGATTCAATCCCCAGTACCACCAAAAAAGAAACAAAAGACTGATAAGAGTTTAGGCCCAGGAGCCAAGTTCCCCACCCTGGGGTCAGAGCTTGGGAGTAGGAGGTCACAGAGCCCTAGGTGGAGGAGAGCTGTTACCCACCCCTTCTCTTCCCTGACTGTCCAATCTGCCCTGAGTATCTCAGGGCAACGGGAAAACACTACTTCCCAAATGCAGATGCTAGGATCCCAGAGTGTCCCTGAAAGGCGGGGCTGCAAATGAGGCTCTTTTTATATTGTATTTGTCCCAAAGTTCAGAAAGTCCTTGCTGAAACTCTTGCTTGGGGGCCCAGAATTTAAACTTAGTCACTGCCTGAAGTCCTTGTTTTAGGAAAGATTGAGTTGGTTGTTGCATAACCCAGAGCTGGGCGGGTATGGGTTGCAGAAGGAAACATTTCCTCTTCCTTTATCCTGTGATGCTGGAGTGCTAGGGGTTGGCCAGGCACTGCCTGGGGAAGGAAGGGCTGGTCAGGAGCAGCTAAGACAGACCAGCCGAAAAAGGGCAGGCAAGTGTCTGGATGCAAACACTCAGACCCTCTCCAAAGCCTCCTGGGCACAAAAGCATAACCTGAGAAATCTAGAAACCCCATTGCATGCTTGTGAGGAGGAGGACAGGTTTAGGGAAAGGAGAGAAATGAAGAAGGATAACCTAAAGAGTTGGGAGGTGGGGTAGGGTATGCTCTCTGTCCACTGTCCCCCAAGAACATCCAGAATATGAGTTCATCTAAATTTGCCCACACACTCCAGAGTTTCAACTGGATAATACCCCCTTTCCCTAACTCCCAGGTGTTTGGCTAATTTTCACTTTGAACACTCAGCCCCTTTTCAGTCCTTCTAGACTCAACGTGTCTACTCCACAATGCTAGGGTTTCCTGCAGCTTACTCCAGGTGTATTCCTCTCCACCTTTTCCCCATTTTATCCCTAGCTCCCCAGAACCCCTTCTATCATCTTACCCCAGTCCTGCTCTCTCTAAACCTATTCTACCCATAGACACTACTCAGGGAGACTTACTCTTCCCCTTCCCCAATTTTGCTTTTCCTCTCCTCTCTTTGGGTCTCTTCAGTCAGTAGTAGGTTCTCCCAACACCCCATGATCCATCATCTCCATCTTCTTTCTTTGCATTTGTCCCCATGCCTCTCATGACTCCACCCCCGCCCCCCCCCACCCCGTCCCTTGTCGGTTCGTTTTTTAAGCCCCCCATCTTCTCACTCCAAACAGGAGACCCCACGTGCCTTTCATACTCCTTCACATACACACAAACTGGATTTCAGGTTTGCCCCTCATCTCACTCCAGTCCTTCCCTTCTTCCACTCCTCCCCACCCTCCAGTCCCTCCAGCCAGCTGTACAGCTCCCAAATTCCGGGCGAGATTCCCAGGAACAAAGCAAGAAAAATCAGAGCAATTTGGGAAGTAAACAGAAACTGGGAAGGGAGCGGGGAGAGAAGAGTGGGGAGGACCCAGGTGGTGGGGGGGGCTCTCCAGTCCCACCCAGTTTAGGGAAAGCCTCTGCCTTCTCCCCCACCCCCCTTCACCTGGCTCTTAAAGGGCCGGCCCCTGACCGACGGCTACTTAAGGCAGAGGGGCGGCAACGGGCAGAGCTGCTCTACGACTGCTCTGGAAGGAGTGGACGGGGCAAAAATCCTGACGATGACCCCCCACAGGCTGCTGCCACCGCTGCTGCTGCTAACTCTACTGCTTGTTGCCCGCCCAACAGGCGCCTTGGCGCAGTGCCCAGGCTGCGGGCAGGGGATGCAGGCGGGATGTCCTGGGGGCTGCGTGCAAGAGGATGAGGGACAGCCGGCGGAGGGCTGTGAAGAAACCGGGGGCTGTCTCAGGAGAGAGGGGCAGCAGTGTGGGGTCTACACTCCTAACTGCGCCGCGGGACTACAGTGCCAGCCGCACAAGGACGAGGAGGCGCCTTTGCGGGCGTTGCTGCTGGGCCGGGGCCGATGCAGCCCGGCCCGGGCAGCCGCTGGTGAGTCCGCGCTCCGCCCCTGCCCCGCCCACCTGAGACCCGCACTTCTCCCCGCGCCGATCTAGAGATGCGGCGAACAGCCCTGCGAGCCTGTAGATCCTGGCCGGTGCTGCTTCTTCCTCCCTGACCTTAGGAGAGGGGCACACTCTGGGGGTAAGGGGCAAGTGCAGGGAACAGAAGGCTGAGGTGCGGCTAGGGGATCTGGGAATATAGTAGGAAAATGAACTCTTAACTTTCCTTTTTTGCTCCTTCTATTTATTCTCCCTTGAGGGAAAGGGCTGGGGAGGAGGATAGAGGGTTTTAGAGCCGTCCCACGCGCCCCAGCTCCTTCAACCCTGGATGCCCAAGCTGGAGACAGGACCCAGCTTCCTTCCTTTCGGAGGAGGGAAGGGAGCCCCAGACACCCAAATTCTGCACATTGAGCAATAGTTGCTTTCCTCCTAATGCCGGAGTTGGAAGCACCTGAACTTGAGGTCTAGAGGAGAAGATGACCAGAGCTGTACCAGACTACACCGGGAGAGTGGGTAGGCCCTGGAGAGCCTGGGGAGGAAGAAGGCGGTGGGAAAAGAGGGAATTTGCCAAACCATGCTTATGATTTAAACTTGCTCAAAACCCTCCACTCGAGCTCCCCACCCAGCCCTACCCCAGGGAAGAGCAAAGGAGGCTGAGTCATTGGGTGGGTGGGACCAAAGTGAGTCAGCTCTCAAAAGATGGGGGGCAACAGGGAGATGGGAGGAAGCAGGAAATGCAAGTGCCCCCATCCCAGAGCATCTGAGTTCCTGATTTATTTCATGGGAGGGATGAGAAATGAAACTGGAGTCTCTTTCAATCCCAAGTGCCTGAGTCCAGGCTTCCAGAGGTCCTCCTGGAAGGGGCGATTAGAGTGGGTCAAAGAAGGCAGTTTGAGGTACTAAATGCTGGGTCTTAAAAAGATAGGGTAACCAGAGGAAGAAGGGTTAGAGTCGGATTGGGTCGCTGGTAGTGAAAGCAGATGAGAGCTTGTCCCTGGGCATGGAGAGGGAAAGACCATCCCTGCATTCCTTCCAATATCTAATTTTATTTATAGCTGGGGCAAATTTCAAGCAGTGCATTCTCCCTTCCCTGCCTTAATCTAGGATTATTTCTTACCTTTTTCTATTCCTGGATGCTCCACAGGAGCACCTCTCTCATCAGAAACTTTTTCTAGAGTAAGAGCAACCCACAGGTTGGAAACCCCTCATTCCTTGTACCTTTGTAACTTTCTTCGCATCATGGCTAAGGGCTGAATCCACATGCTCCTGGGACTAATAAGGTTGAGCTGAACTGAGCCACAGGGGAACAGAAGGGAGAGGTATCCACTGCAGTGCCCCCAAAGAAATCACATGTCAAACTTGGGAGGGGTAGGTTGAGTCACAGCAGGGTCACAGCCAGGACATACATTCCATTTGGGTCCCTGTTGATCCCCTCCTACATCATTGCTTTCCTGCCCCATCAGGTTCCTGTCTTGGTGCACCCCCTTGTGGCTTCTGTTGGAACAGCCAGGTCTTTTCACCTATAGCTTAAAAGCCTCAAAAAAACCAGTAGTGAAAAATTTGTTTTGTTTTTTTGTTTGTTTGTTTTTCAAAATGCCTCTTCTTTATAAGCCTTAAAATTACTCTGGGGGCTGGGATTGTGGCTCAGCGGTAGACCGCTCGCATAGCACGGGCGGGACCCGGGTTCGATCCTCAGCATCACATAAAAATAAAAGCATTGTGTTGTGTCCATCTACACCTAAAAAATTAAAAAATAATAATAATAAAATAAAATAAAAAATTACTCTGGGAGCCGGGCACAGTGGCACATGCCTGTAATTCCAGTGGCTGGGGATGCTGAGGCAGGAGGATTGCGAGTTAAAAGCTAGCCTTAGCAAGATCAAGGTGCTAAGCAACTCAGTGAAACCCTGTCTCTAGATTCATATTCTTTTTTGTGTGTGTGGTGCTGGGAATTGAACCAGGGCCTTAGTGAATGCAAGGCAAGCACTCTACCAGCTGAGCTACATCCCAAGCCCGAAACCCTGTCTCTAAATAAAATACAAAAAATAGGGCTGGGGTTGTGGCTCAGTGGTCAAGTGCCCCTGAGTTCAATCCCTGGTACCAAAAAAAAAAAAAAAATTACCCTGGGAAGCCAGGTGCAGTGGCATACACCTATAATCCCATTGACTTTAGGGGTTGAGTTGAGACAGAAAAAATCACAAGTTCAAAGCCAGCCTCAGCAATTTAGCAAGGCCCTAAGCAACTTAGCAATACCCTGTCTCAAAATGAAAAATAAAAGGTTGGGGTTGTAGCTTAGTGGTAGAGCACTTGCCTCACACGGGTAAGGCCCTGGGTTTGATTCCCAGTTCCATGTTAAATAAATAAATAAACAAAAGATATTGTGTCAATCTACAACTAAAAATATTTTTAAAAAATGAAAAATAGGGGCTGGGGATGTGGCTCAAGCGGTAGAGCACTCGCCTGGCATGCGTGCGGCCCGGGTTCGATCTTCAGCACCCCATACAAACAAAGATGTTGTGTCCGCCGAAAACTAAAAAATAAATATTAAAATTCTCTCTTTCTCTCTGTCTCTCTGTCTCTCTCTCTCTTTAAAAAAAACATGAAAAATAAAAACAGGTGGGGATGTGACTCAGTAGTTGAGCACTCCTAGGTTTAATCACCGGCCCCAAAATAAATAAATACATAAATAAATAAAATTACTTTGGGGATATAATGTCAGGAAAAGTAATATAACTGTTTTCAGAGAAAGAAACTGGCTAGGATGAGGCAGAGGAACCAGCTTCTAACCTCCCATGGTTTTTTTCTCCTATACCTTAAGGCCCTCTGTTCCTTCGTTCCAGTGGATAGGGGTGGACAGGACTCTTCTCTGCATGGCACCTAGCTGATCTTTTGCCTCTTTGTTCTTTCTGTGGCCATAGAGAATCCGAAGGAGAGTAAACCCCAAGGAGGCACCACTCATCCACAGGACGTGAACCGCAGAGACCACCAGAAGAATCCAGGGACCTCCACCACTCCCGCTCGGCACAATCCTGGGGGTGTCCAAGAAACTGAGATGGTAGGAGCAGGAGAGGTGGGGAACCCTGGAGACTTCTATCTCAGACTGCTTCTGGCAGCTTGGATAAGTCTCCAGTGTTGGTCTGGGGGATCCTGGCTTGTGGGGCCCTGAGCCACCGCTCTCCCTCCCCTAGGGCCCCTGCCGCAGACACCTGGACTCAGTGCTACAGCAACTCCAGACTGAGGTCTTCAGAGGGTCTCACACCCTCTATGTACCAAATTGTGACCATCGAGGCTTCTATCGGAAGCGGCAGGTAAGATGAGGCCTTTCCTCCCCAGTACAAGGAATGGGGAGGGGCACTTACAGAGTTGCCTAAATAAGACACTGTCCCTGCCTATCAGGATTTCCAACTTTAGCACCCACACAAACATAAAGAATAATTAGGGCTGAGGATTGTGCTTCAGTGGTAGAGCTCTTGCCCAGCATGCACAAGGTCCTGGATTTAATCCCCAGCACTGAAGAAAAAAAAAAAAAAAAAAAAGAATATCTAACTATACATTGTGGTAGAGGACTTAAAGTCCCCAAGGAGTGGCCTCTCAGTAGCTCTCAAACTTGAGGCCCAGAATCATCTGGAAGGCTTGGGAACACAGATGGCTAAGCCCTACCTGCAGAGTCCGGACTCAGTAGGTCTGGGGTAGGGTCTGAGAATTTATATATCTAATACATACCCTAGTGCTATTGGTGCTGTTGGTTTGGGAGTCATACTTGAAAACTATTTTCTGTCCTAGCAGAATGGGCACAACTTAGTGGGTGAAGAGGGGGAAGGGAAACCAGGGCCCTACTGTCCTGAGGAACCTGAGGTATTTCTGAATACTCAGGCTGAAGAGTTCCTTCCCACCTCAGGCCTCACCCTTCATCTGTGTGCCTCTCTCCCCAGTGTCGTTCCTCCCAGGGACAGCGCCGAGGCCCCTGCTGGTGTGTGGATCGGATGGGCCAGCCTCTACCCGGGTCTCCAGATGGCAATGGAAGCTCCCTCTGTCACACAGGGGGCAGTGGCTAAAGCAGGGTGGGGAGCAGCAGGGCCAGTGGCAGGAGCGTGGGGCTGTCATCTTGGGTTATTAAGTGATAAGTAACTCAGGGGCTTTGAGTCCCACCATACACCTTCAGGCCCTGTGTCATTGTCCCCCTCACTCCTGGGTCCTATTTCACATCTAGTTGAAATAATTGTTGGTATCAGCCTGGGAGGTTAATAAAGCTGTGTTGGGGGTCTCAGGCCTGTGTCTCTGTGTCCACCTCTCACTGTTCTAAAGCCCCAGGCCCTGTCTCCCACAGCAGCCCACTCATACCATGTCCCCCTTCCCTATGTACTATCTTCAGTTCCTCGCACTGCACTTGGGAGGACTTGCAGGACACAGCAAGTAGCACCGCATGGCGCTGTCAAGCCTCCTTCAGCTCTCCACTGGGAGGTAGAGAGAAGGGAGACACTGAAATCATGGCCTCCATCAGAGGTCGTGACCTAATTTCCAACAATGATCTTTGGACATGGGGGAGGGGAAGGATTAATAGTTAATCCCCAACAGGAACTCATCAAAGAAAAATTCTCAAAACACCCATTTGTTACTACAAAAAGAGGAAGGAAAATATTTATTGAGCCCATTTCCATGGATCAGGACTGAGCTGTGTGATTTTGACTTGGACTACTTATTTTGGGCTTCCAATAACCTCGTGAGGTAGGGAGTTTTTGCCTCCATTTTTCAAAGGAAGCTTAAATTTTTTGTGTCATTTGCCTGGAATTACAGGGCTAGTAAATAATAGAGAGAAGTTTACATCTGGTTCTTCAGTGTCAAGTAAAAACTTGTTTGGTTTCCCTTCTGCCTGTTAACCCAAGCAGGTGTAGGACAGAGCTGACAATCAGGGGCCCTAGCACCCAACATTTCCTAGAGGTGGTCATGTGTACCACCCCCCCCATCAGAATATTATTGCCCACCTCATCTCACGGTCTCAGGAGGCTGAATGCACTGTTACAGGAAGATGTTTTTAACTGCTCCCTGACCTTCAAGCCTGTGGGAGAATGACTGGAAAGCAAACTGTGATAAGTGATAAGCCTCAGAGAGGCAAAGTCCCCCTTCCAGCCTCATACAGAGCCACCACTCCCGTGGGAGGGATAGCAGGTTTGGAGCTGAGTGACTGGATGGTGGTGTTGGGGGGATGAGGCCCTCTCGGTGACAGCCAGCAGGGCAGAACTGGCCCTGAGAAGCCCTGTCTTGAGATAACCTATTGTGTCCTGGAGGTTCCCTCCACCTGAAAGGACTTTAGCCTCTGGAGCTGCCAGCTGAGCTGAGTGGGACAAGAGCTCGGCAGGCAGGCTGTGAAGGAAAGGAGGGAGCACAGGCCACAGTCACTTGCTGCCCACTCAGACTGGCATATGGAACCAATGGGGACTCATTTGCGGAGGAGAGAAGGGCTGGGAGGGGAACCGGAGGAGCGACCCTCTGGAGAAGGTGAGCCACCCTCAGGGAGGGCACAAAGCTCAGGGGTGGGGATGCACTGTTGTGCGGGGCCTCCTACCGGCTAACTTCAACCCTTCCCCTTGTCCTGGGAGGAAGGGAAGGCAGATGCTGGTGTCTGTCCCACACAGCTCAGCCTAGATGTGGAGGAGAAAAGGGGCATTCAGAAAGGTGGCCTTCTCATGCCTTTCTGACCCTTTAACCAGAGAGGATAATGGAATAGCTTCGTATTCCCTGGGGCCCCTGTTTCCAATAATGTCATCATATCCCTCTTGCCAATGGCCTCTTCATCTACAAAAATAACTTCCTCTTCTAGTTGCCCCACCAGAGATACTAGATAGTGACTGATTGGGCAGAGGGGAGGCTGCTAAGCTACAGAGGTGTTTCCTGTACAAAGAATACCCCTGGGTCTACAGAACCCTAACTCCTCCCCCTTGAGTGTTCCCTTTGACCCCCTCCTCCTAGGAAACACTGAGACGCACAGAGCCCCAGACTTGGTGCAATGGACCCGACATATGGAGGTGAGGGACCTCAGAGACCTGGGGTCAAGATGGACAGGTCCTTGGGGTGGCAGGAGGCAAGGAAGGGTGAGGACTGGCTTGGTGATAAAGATGATTTGTTCTCAAGTACAAAGTTCAGATTAGAGCCCAGCACAGTGACTCATACCTGTAGTCCCAGTGACTTGGGAGGCTGAGGCAGGAGGATTACAAGTTTGAGGCCAGCTGGGCAACTTAGTGAGACTCTGTCTCAAAAACTTAAAAGGGCTTAGTGGTAGAGTGCCCCTGTGTTTAATCCCCAGTACTGCAAACAACAAACATTAGGTTGGAATTAAGGGTTAAGATGGCAGACTTTGAAATACAGGTTCTCCAGGATGGGACAAAAGTCAGCATATAGAGTATTAGTGAGGTTAGAGGTCAGAGGTAAGCAAATAAGGATCAGAAATGACCTGGTAGAAATTCAGACCCAGGAAGTGGGAGGAGCATTGCTCCTCTGGTCATTCCCTTTTTTGGGGGAAAGGGGGATACCAGGGATTGAACTCAGGGGCACTCAGTCACTGAGCCACAACCCCAGGCCTATTTTGTATTTTATTTAGAGACAAGGTCTCATTGAGTTGCTTAGTGCCTCACCATTATTGAGGCTGGCTTTGAACTCGTGATCGTCCTGCCTCAGCCTCCTGAGCCACTGGGATTACAGGAGTGTGCTACCCCGCCCTGCTCTGTGGTCATTCTTGATTCTCACTGATGTCACAGGAAGCCAGGAGGCAAATGGCTGGGGAATCTCTGGGCATGGCTTGTCATCTTTCTACCCCTATCACTTGGCATAGAGAGAAGCTAGGTAAATGTCTGGTAAGTGGAAAGAAATCCGGCTGGCTGGAGGAACAGTGGACTTTTGTCCTGTAGGCAGTGAAGATGCAATTGTTGGAGCAAGCACAGGAAAAGCTGGTGGAGCTGCTGGATCGGGCCATATGGGAGGCCATACAATCCCACCCACCACAAGACAGACCTCTGCCCTCCCCTCACCCAGCTCCCTTAAGCAAGTGAGTCTGAGGATCCAGAAAACTGGGGAATGACTGCAGGGTGCTCAGAAGGACCCTGAGCCACAAACTTGTACCTTTTGCCAGCTTTAGCATGGCCTTGACCTCAGGCTCCCCACTTCTCCCCCCATTGCCCTGACTCCCTGATACTAACCTCCACCTTCTCTGCCTTGCTCTGCCCTGATCCTGATTTTCACCTGATACTACCCTGGGCTCACACGTACTGACCTTCTGCATGAAGCTGTCCTCTGCCCACTGCCTTCTTCCTTTGGAGCCTGACCCTAACCAACTGTTTTAATTCAGGACCCAGAAGCCATCCTTTGGAAGACGGAAAGTTTTCGTCATCCGCAAATCCTTGCTTGAGTAAGTCGGGGGGAAATAGGAACAGGAGGAAAAGAAAGAGCTTCAACTGGGGACCAAGGATACCTTGATTCTTATTCCTAGGCTCTAGGTGGTTTGTGGGGAGAATCGGAGAGGGTTTCTAAGGCTCAGTTCCCCCACTGTTTGGCCTGGATATGCTTGTAGAAGAAAGGAGACCTGGACGAGAAGTCTCAGCCATATCTCAGAACTTAGCTGGAAGTTCTGGATCAGTAGCCCCCATGTCCTTCTGTGTACAGTACTTGATCTAGTCCATATGACCCCGAGGGCTGTCCCCCACTGACCTTAGGTCCCTGTCTCTCCAGTGAGCTGATGGAGGTGCAGCATTTCCGTACCATCTACCACATGTTTATTGCCGGCCTGTGTGTCTTCATCATTAGCACCCTGGCCATCGACTTCATTGATGAGGGCAGGTAGGCCCCCCTCCTGCCTGAGATAGGCATGTCAATCAGATCAGACCCTCTATCTCCCAGTACTCCATGTGCCCCTGACCCCAAAGGGCATATGCTTTGATTGAGGACATTCACCAGCCAACTTCTCACATAAAACACTTTTGTACTCCTGCCCTCCCTGGCCTTGGATGGCCCTTGGTCTCTCTTCCCAAGGCCAGACATTCTGGTGATACCATGCCCCCACTTTTTTTTCTTTCTGTTTTTTGGGGGGTATCAGGGATTGAACTCAGGGGCACTTAACCACTGAGCCACATCCCCAGCCCTGGCTTTGAACTCATGATCCTGCTACCTCAGCCTTCTGAGCTACTGGAATTACAGGTGTGGCCACTGCATGCAGCTTCTCAATAGTAATCTTGCCTGGAGACAGATGTAGGTGTGTGTTTATACATATACCCTCAAACACTCCTTTCCAAGTAGGTCTGTTCAAGTAACCTTCATCATCATGGAGTACCTACTGGCTCCCATGAGCCATTGCTGATCTTGTGGGGAAGACAGACGTGTGCAATGTCTTAGTTGTTTTTTCCACAGAGCATCCCCTCCCTATTCTGATGATGAGCCTCAGAGTGCTGCATATTCCTGGGGTCTGTATTTTCAAGACCTCCACCTTCCCCCTGACCTCACCTTAACTTGGGCTTAGGAAGCAGTAAAAGAAAGAGGACCAATTATGCTCACCTAGCATGCCCTGAGTTAGATCCCTGTGCCACAAATACACACAAACAAACTTCAAATACACTTTTTATTGTAAAGTGATAGTCCTTCTTGAGCATTTTTCATGCATGCGCGTGCACACACACACATACATACACACACTTCAAAGAGATGTATGTTGTGGGAGTTTGTTTTATTATTTATTTAGTTAGTTTTAGTTGTTGACAGACCTTTATTTTATTTATTTATATGCGGTGCTGAGAATCGAACCCAGTGCCTCACACATGCCAAGCAAGTGCGCTACTGCTGAGCCATAGCCTCAGGCCTGTTGTGGGAGTTTTTATAAACTCTTGTTTTATATCTATTATTTTGCAATTTGTTTTTACACTGAACAACTTTCTTAGGGATTTTTCCATGTCAATCCACTGATTTTTAACGACTTCAGAGTATGGAGGTACCAGATTTTGTTCATTTAGTCCTTTATTAACAGATATTTAGATTGTTTCTCATTTTTCACCTTTATAAACCATATCCCTTCCCTCATCTCCCATGCTGAGGATGGAACCCAGGACCTCCTTCATGCTGGGTAAGGGTTCTACTGAGCCACATCGCAGCTCATAAACCATGTTCTGTTAACCTAGGGAAGCAACACACTGAACAATTTACATTCTTTTAGCATGGGTCTACAACTGCAGACACTCTAAAGAAACAAAACTATTGAAAATCAAAGTTGAATTCTAAATACCTCATACTATAACATTTGGGATATACAGAATACTGAACACCACAAAATTCACAAAGGCCTCCAAGAATCATTTAGAATCAAATCCATTCCATGGCTGGGTCTCCTGAGGCAATGCCCTGGCTAGATTTGCCAGGCAGCAGAGACATCTTGACCACCTTCCCTGATGGGGCATGCACAGCCTTCCCAAGACACCTCTGTTGCTGTGGTGGCACACACCTGTAATCCCAGCCAAGAGGGAGACTGAGCCAGGGCAATCACAAGTTCAAGGTCAGCCCGGGCAATTTAGTGAGATTCTGTTTCAAAATTTAAAAAAGTAGGGCTGGGGATGTGGCTCAAGTGGTGGAGCGCTCGCCTGGCATGCGTGCGGCCGGGGTTCGATCCTCAGCACCACATACAAACAAAGATGTTGTGTCCGCCGATAACTAAAAAATAAATATTAAAATTTAAAAAAAAAAAATTTAAAAAAGTAAAAAGGGCTGGGGGTGTAGCTCAGTGTAGGGCACTCGCCTAGTATGTTTAAGGCCTGGGTTCAATCCCCAGCACCAACCAACAAACAACAACAAAAGCTTATCCTCCAAGAGCTCTGACTCAAGAGCACGGGGATCAGGATGGGCTACACTTTTGTCTACAGTCTCTCCTTCCCCCAAGGCTGGTGCTGGAGTTTGATCTGCTGATCTTCAGCTTCGGACAGCTGCCCCTGGCGCTGGTGACGTGGGTCCCCATGTTCCTGGCCACTCTGCTGGCGCCCTACCAGGCCCTGCGGCTGTGGGCCAGGCCCAGGGCAGGGGGCGCCTGGATGCTGAGGGCGGTCCTGGGCTGTGTGCTGCTGGCTGCCCACGCTGCGGTGCTCTGTGTGCTCCCAATCCACGTGGCAGTGAAGCATGAGCTCCCGCCAGCCTCGCGTTGCATCCTAGTCTTTGAGCAGGTGAGGACAAGCCCCGCTGCTGTGCAAGCCCAGCGTGCAGGGGGAAGGGGTACAAGCCAAAAGCAGGGCCATTTCTGCAGAGGGTGAGCCTGGAAGAGGGGCGTGGCCCATGTGAAGGAGGCGTTTGATGGTGCTAGAGGACGCGGAGCTAGTTAATAGGGGCATAGTCAGCTAGGAGGATTTGTGGAATCCGCAGGCTCCGAACAAAAGTAAACTAAAGGGGCAAGGGGCAAACCACAGAGGCAGACTGATCTGTTTAGAGGACATATTTTTCTTTTTATCTGATAGTCCAACACGGAAGGCTTCTGGGAGGAAGGGGTAAAGTGGGACAGGAGAGGCTAGGGTGGGGTCTGCCTCCGTGGTAAATGAGAGCAGAGACGTTAAGTGATTTGCTCAGAACCACAAGGCAACTTGACCTCCCTTTTACTCCATCCCAGGTCAGGCTCCTGATGAAAAGTTACTCCTTCCTGAGAGAGGCTGTGCCTGGGACCCTTCGTGCCAGAGGACGTGAGGCCTTTCTCTGACCTTGTCATGAACTTGGCCTTCTTGGCTGGTTGAAGGAAGCCAGCAGTTACAGGATGCTCATAAAACTCTGCGATCCCTAGCTGCTCTTGGCCAGCAGACACAGCTCTGGCCTCCAGCTGGGCTCTAAGGCCTTAGTCATTAGAGTTCTCAGGCCCCACCTCTGAGAGACCACACTTTGTTACCCAAGATTTCTGGAGTTTAGACCTGGCGTTGAGAACTTTCTATGAGAAAGTCAGTATAGAAGGGGAAGGAGACTGGGAACTTGTAGCTGCCAAATGCAGCTCTGGCCACAGCAGGTCCTGTGCTAGAAAATGGGGTGCCTGGAATGGAAGCAAAAAAGGGGGTATGAAATAGCAAATTCAGCTCCTGACCCCCTAACTACTCCTCCCTGCCTGAATCTGGACCCCATATCCAGCCTCTCACCCATCTACCCTGTGCTATGTGTCTCTCTATTCTCCAATCCCATCCCCTTCCCCAGCAGCCCATTCACCTCTGTTCTCTGCCTTCCCCCTCCTGATCCTTCTCATTCCTCCCCAGGTGAGGGCATCTGGGCCCCCAGTTTCTCCAGCTACCTCTACTTCCTTTTCTGCCCCACACTCATCTACCGGGAGACTTACCCCAGGTAAGACCCTGCAACCCCTCCCCAAGTGCCCAGGCCTATCAGGCACCTTGACCTTTAACTCATCTCTCACCCCGGGCACTGGCCACTTGCTCAGGAGGCATCCCATAATAAAGATGGGAAATAAATGGGAGGTAGACTAGCCCTTTTCCTTGTGCAACCTATCATTGACACTAGGATGATTAACTGTCCTGGTTTTCCCAGTTCCGTTCTGATTTTCATACTGAAAATTCTACACATCCCAGAAAACTCCCAATGTTTAGTCACCTTAGTTGAGACCCAAGCTATAACTTCACTTGATGTCATTGTTATGAAAAGTCTAAAATGTTCTAGACCCCTATCCCCCCGGATAATCCACCCAGGCCTGAGCGACTGAGGGAGCTGCAAAGAGAGGGCCACAGGCCTGAGCAAGAAATGACACAAAAGGACAAGAAGCATATTATTCTTTTTGCTGCTACAGGACACCCAGCGTCAGGTGGAATTACGTGGCCAAGAACTTTGCCCAGGTCAGAAGATGGTAGAGAAGGGTGGCCAACTGTGATTCATGGTGGCTGGGGGAGACCTGGGGAGGAGGGAGAGGGTGGTACCAAGGGAAGAGAGAGGAGAGGCTGGGCCAGAGGTTCAATTCCAAGGCAAAGAGCCAGCTGCCAGCACCCCCTCATAGTGTATGTCCCCACTCTCTCTGTAGGCCCTGGGCTGTGTGCTCTATGCCTGCTTCATCCTGGGCCGCCTCTGTGTTCCTATCTTTGCCAACATGAGCCGGGAGCCCTTCAGCACGCGGGCCCTGCTGCTCTCTATCATGCATGCCACTCTGCCAGGTAAGTCATCCAGGGTGGGCAGGAGAAGGCTGGGCCCTGGAGAAGGCTTAGCAGGGAAGGCCTCGCTCTTTGCTTTCGCCAGATGCTCTCACATCTCTCCCACCTGTCCATGCTCATTGCCATTGGCTCCATTCAGTCTCCTCAAGTGTCTCCCTACCCCCCCAATCTTTCCTCTCCTATCTGTGGACTGATGGATGCCCTGGTGAACTTCTGTATATACTCTCCCTTGCTTCAAAAATATCACTATTCTTGCACTAAATAAGGCCTGTTTTAGATTTTCTTTTTTTTTCTTTTCTTTTTTTTTTTAGTTGTAGTTGGACACAATGCCTTTATTTTATTTATTTTTATGTGGTACTGAGGATCAAACACAGTGCCTCACATGTGCTAGATGAGCGCTGTACCTTGAGCCACAACCCCAGCCCCTGTTTCAGACTTTCTTGTCAAAACAAAACAAGACAAAAAACCTGATTCCCATTGTTGGCATGAGATTTAAACCATTGGTCTGTTCAGCTTGGTGGCACACCACACTGTAATCCCAGCTACTCAGGAGGCCGAGACAGGAGGATTACAACTTAGCAACTTGGCAAGACCTTTTCTTAAAATAAAAAAAATAGAAAGGACTAAGGATGTAGCTCAGTGGTAGCACGTTCCTGGTTTTAATCCCCAGCACCATAAAATAAATAAACAAACAAATAAACCTTTAGCCTGGCACTCAAGGCCCCTTCCCATGTGATCCTAGTCTTCCTTTATTTTATTTTATTTATTTATTTTTTATTTTTTGATGTCTCACTATGTTACCCAGGCTGGTCTTGGATTCTTGGCTCAAGTGATCCTCCTGCCTCGGTCTCCCAAATAGCTGGGACTACAGACATCTCACGTCACCCTGCTAAGCCTATTCTTTTTCAGCCATCAATTATGGTGACCCACCCCTTGCTCTGCACTTCCAAGCACATCCATGGCCACCATACTTAGTTGCCATTACATTTGACCTTGATACATGGTTGGACATGTCTGTCTCTTTGTTTGTGTCTCTCCAACTACTCTGAGAACTCCCAAAGACCAGGGCTTTGAGAATCTTTTTTTTTTTTTTTTTTTTTGGTGGTGGTGCTGGGGATTGAACCCAGGGCCTTGTGGATGCGAGGCAAGCACTCTACCAACTGAGCTGTATCCCCAGACCTGCAAATCATTTTTGTATTCCCAACATCTGGCATGGAGTAGATGTCAGAACATATTCATGAAAAAATGGGTGAATTAACAAATGCATGAATATGTGAACAGTTAATGAATGCTTGGTAAGAGTTGGGCCCTGGTTGCTGGGCAGGGCGGCCTGGAGGTCCAGGCTGGTTGGACAGCAGCCCTTGTCCCCACTGCCAGGCATCTTCATGTTGCTGCTCATCTTCTTCGCCTTCCTGCACTGCTGGCTCAATGCTTTTGCAGAGATGCTGCGGTTTGGAGACAGGATGTTCTACAGGGTGGGTCCTGGACCTGAGCTACCTGAAAACTGGAGGCAGGAAGAGTTAGGGAGGGTTGGGGTGATGATGGCGATTGGGTGTCACCTAGCTGTGCTATTAAGCTCCCACATAAGCAATGGAGTTTTTAGGTGTAGGAATGATGTGTCCTCTCCACTATCTGACCAGCCAGGGCTGGTTGATTTTGTGGGGATGGTACCATGGAATCTTCTTAAGATGGTGGGGTAGGAAAGAGGGCAGGAGGGAGCTGGGGTGACAGGGGAGAGAGTACAGGCAGAGGGGGCAGTGGGAAGGAGCTGGGGCCTGGGATGCTTATCTCCTTTCCCCACCGAACTCCACTCCCTCCCCAGGACTGGTGGAACTCAACATCCTTCTCCAACTACTACCGCACTTGGAACGTGGTGGTCCACGACTGGCTGTACAGCTACGTGTATCAGGATGGGCTGTGGGTATGGGCCCTGCAGACCCCTTCAGGTCCTATAGGAGAGGCTCTCCAGAGCACCCTCCCTCACCGTCCCGCTGCACCATCAGCTCCTTATCAAACCTGAGGGCCCTGGAGACAACCTTTCTCCATTTTACCCAACCCAATAGGCAGAAAGTCTTCCTTACAACCTAACTTCCTTCCTTCTTTACTCCTAATTTCACCCTCTCCACAAGATATTTCTTTCCTTCTTAGCCTTTGAAGGAACATGCGTAGAGCAATTTTCAGTTACCAAAAGTTTTCACATGCATTTCATTAGCACAGTTAATCCTGAAAAATAAGGACTATTATACCCCTTTTTAAAATTGCTGCCAAGGCCCAATAAGCTAATTCAATGCTGTTGAACAAGACTGATGTTAAGCCCTTTGGACCCCAGATCCCATATTCTTTCCATCACTCCACATTCCCTCCTGGCTTCCTTAAAAGGAGGCTCTTAGTGGAGGGGTGCAGGGAGACTCACTCCCCACTCCCCTTCTTGCTCTGCCAGCTCCTTGGTGGCCGGGGCCGAGGGGCAGCCATGCTGGGCGTGTTCCTGGTCTCTGCAGTGGTGCATGAGTACATCTTCTGCTTTGTCCTGGGATTCTTCTACCCCGTCATGCTGATGCTCTTCCTTGTCATTGGGGGTGAGCTTGGCCTCTGTGCCACTGGAGAGGAGGTCTTCCTCCTGCTTCTGGGGATCCCAGAAGCTGCTGGGTTTGCGGGTGGGTTGGGAAGGGACTTGGGAACAGGAAGGGAGGCCACAGGGGTGTCTTGAGGGATGTGGGAGAAGTTTTCTGGTTGGAGAGTATTTGAACAGGGGACATAGATGGAGACAAGGGGAAAAAACTGGGATGTGGTTGGAAGGTTCAGTGTGACATCCAGGATATTGAGGTGGAAGCTGAGGAATCCTGGTTTCACATGAGTCACTTGAGATCTCCAAGAATTTCTGAAGCTGGGTTCAAGGTCTTCCCCAATGAGGCCTTCCTGCCCCACCACTTCCCAGTACCCTGGGATGGGGGGAAGCCAGGGAGACAATGCACAGGGATCTGGAGTGACAACTTTTTCTCCTACACCAGGGCTACTGAACTTCACAATGAATGACAGGCACACGGGCCCCGCGTGGAATGTGTTGATGTGGACCTTACTCTTTCTGGGCCAGGGCATCCAAGTCAGCCTGTACTGCCAGGAATGGTATGCACGACGGCACTGTCCCCTGCCCCAGGTAAGAGAACACAACCCTCACCCAGTTGGTTCCCCATCCCCAGCCGGACACACCCAATAGCCAGCCACAGTGGTTCTCAATTCAACACCCAAAGTCAGGGGCCAGGGCCTGTGGTTCTCATGTCTTGGATGCACCAAGGGGTCACCAGAAATGACTTCATTCACAATCCATCCTTCTCTGGTACAGACAACCTTCTGGGGGCTGCTGACACCTCGATCTTGGTCCTGCCATGCCTAGAGGTCAGGACTCTTGCTCCACCCAGATGACACCATCAAGCACTTCTCTAGCTGCAAAGTCTGAGACTGGGGCTCTTCTCTACACCCTCATACCAGGCTCTGAGTCAGGGGACTTGCATGTAGGGTCTCACCAAGGAGTTGCAAGGACTTGGGTCTGTGGCCCTGCAGGCAGCTGAGCACAGATTCTGCCTAGGGGGAGACTCTTCAATACCCATTTCCATGAATTGGGCACAAGTTCCCCTCATAACTGATGGCTTGAAAGACTTAGGGAGACTTGAGGGAACCTTACAGATTTGGTGAATGTGGAGGGACTCAGAGCAACAGGGGCCACCAAGATTTGAGAACGGTTTGGTTTTTGATTTTATATACTTCTCAAAACAACAATAAATTTTTTGTCTGCCTTTTTATCCATTCATGTGTTTATTTATTCATTCATCATTTGTTGAATTTTCACTTTTTGTGCCAGGCACTATTGAAGTGTTGTGTTTGCAGAAGAAAGACCTTGTTGCAGGAGAGACTGAGAATCTGAGGTGACACTCTGGCTTACCTCCTCTATGTCAACACCCCCAACCCCCGCAAACCCTGACTCAACCCCTCTGCCACTTCTGCTCCTTCTCCAGTGCATGTGTCCATATCCCATTAATTCTTCCACTCCTGGCAACATCTGGCACACTCTTGAGAGTGCATACAGCCGGCCTCCTTTCCTTTAGCAGACCAGGAGAGGAACCTTCTGATAGACACGAGACAAGTCTTTTAATTTGAAGAGCCTGTTTTCACAACTATAAAATGGAAATCAAATTAGGGAATGGGCTGATTGTATGGGGACAGAAGTTCAAAACATTTGCATGCAAATATGCTCAAGAAACCAAGCCAGGCATGGTGGTGCACGCCTGTGATCCCAATGACTATGAAGGCTGAGGCAGAAGGATGGCAGGTTCCAGGCCAGCTTAGCAATTTAGCAAGGCCCTAAGCAACTTAGCGAGACCCTGTCTCAAAATAAAAAATAAAAAGGGCTGGGGGTGTAGCTTAGTGATAAAATGCCTCTGGGTTTAATCCTCAGCCACACACAAAGAAAAAAAAATTCCAGAAACAAGACTCTGTGGTCTATCTTCTCCACAGGGATTCTCCACCTATCCTGCTATCCTGGTTCTAGGGACTTCTGGGTGTGGAAGGGAGGGAACATTAACCCCAGGACGAGTGAGCAAGAACCGAAAAGCAGAGTCCCTAAGAGAGATGGAACACTGTTTTTGTTTTTGTTTTTCACATTTCAACAGTGTGTATGACAACTTTTCATGTCAAATATAGATCTAAAAAAATAAACAAATAAAATTAAAAAATGGTCCCAGCAGGGGCTGGAGTTGTAGCTCAGTGGTCAAAGCACATGTGTGAGGCACTGGGTTTGATCCTCAGCACCACATAAAAATAAATAAAATACAGGTATTGTGTCTATCTACAACTTGAAAAAAAATAATAATCCCAGTGGCTCAGGAGGCTGAGGCAGGAGGATCACGAGTTCAAAGCCAGCCTCAGCAATGGTGAGGCACTAAGCAATTCAGTGAAACCCTGTCTAAATAAAATACAAAATAGGGCTGGGGAAGTGGCTTAGTGGTCGAGTGCCCCTGAGTTCAATCCCTGGTACCCCCCCCACCAAAAAAATTAAAAAATAGATATATTTCATCTTTTCTAATGACTCCATGATAATATATTGTATTATCTTCTATAATTAATTACATGTTTCAATTATTTACAATATTTGTTCTTAGAAACAATTCTCACATATACATACCTCACTGTACATTTTTTTTGGTGTGTGTGTGTGGTACTATGGATTGAACCCAGGAGTTCTGAATCAGCCCTTTTTAAAAACAGAGAGACAAGGTCTCACTGAATTGCTCAGGACTTCACAAAGTTTCTGGAGGCTGGCTTTGAACTCATGATTCTCCTGTCTGAGCCTCCCAAGCCTCTGGGATTACAGGCTTGTACCATTATGCCCGGCTCCGTATATTTTTTCTTAAGGGAATTTTCTAGCAGCAGAATTACTGGAACATTGAGCAAGCTAAATTAAAAAGTTGCTCACATTACCAAACTGCCCTCTAGAGACCTTATATGAACTTACAGTTATATGATGTTACCCATTTCCTCATTCCACTGCTGATACTGTTTTTTTTTTTTTTACTTTTTAATATTGGCCAATCTCATAAACAGAAAATTATATCTATTTTCTTTTGCATCATAATTATTAATTAATTTATTTATTTACTTATTTTGGTACAAGGGATTGAACCAAGGGGCGCTTAACCACTGGCCACTTCCCTAGCCTTTTAAAAATTTATTTATTTTGAGAAAGGGATGGATCAAATCCAGTGCCTCACACATGTTAGGCAAGTGCTCTGCCACCGAGCTACAGCCCCTTTTTATTTTTAATTTTGAGACAGTGTCTAAGTTGCTTAAGGCCTCGCTAAGTTGCTGACGCTGGCCTTGAACTTGCCATCCTCCTGTCTCAGACTCCTGAGTCACTGGAATTACAGCCGGGTACAGCTTCACATATTTTTGAAGCACTGTTTAAGATGCATGAACATTTAGCATTGTTATGTCCTTTTGACCAAAGGACCTCTTTGCCATTATTAAAGGTGAGCTTTACCTTTATAAGCTACTTAGCTTTGAAATCTATTTTAGTATTAACAATGCTTCCCCCCACCTTTTTTGATATTTTAATTTCTTTTGAATTAAAGTTACTTTTTGTAAACAAGCTAGGAAATGGAATCAACCTAAGGACACTAGTCCTTTAGGGATCCAGGCCAAGTCTTGAGATCTTTAGCAAAACATAATTATTGTAGTAGGTGCTAGCAATAAGGTTATAAACTCTAAATAATAACCACTTATCTAAAGTTTTCATTAGTAAACAGCCAAAAGTCCAGTCCTTAAAGGCATGATATATGGATTTTTTTTTTTTTTCAGTACTGGGAATCAAGCCCAGGGCTGCTCTACCACTGGGCTACATTCCCAGCCTTTTTTTTTTTTGTTGTTGTTGTTGTTGCTGTTTTATTTGAGACAGGGTCTTGATAAATTGCTGAGTTGGTCCCCACATGCCATCTTCCTGCCTCAGGCCCCTTGAGTTGCTGTAATTAGAGGCATGTGCCACCACATCCAGCATGATATACCGAACATTCTCACCTACAAAGGATGGATAGAATGACACAAATTACATGCAGTCCAACCTATTGGAAAACGAGATCAGAGCTAGCCAAGGATTGCTTGTCAAAGTGTTTACATTTTGAAAACTCACTACCTGGCTTTAAAAGTTCCCTGTCATATACCACACTTTCTTTATCCATTTATCTATTGATGGGCATCTAGGTTGGAGGATTTTTGGATTGGCCAAAGGGGAGGGTGGGGGGAGGTTATGGGGGTAAGAAAGATGGTGGAATGAGATGGACATCCTTACCCTAGGTACATGTATACGATTGCCCACATGATGCGTCTCTACACCATGTACAACCAGAGAATTGAAATGTTGCACTCCATTTGTGTACAATGAATTGAAATGCATTCTGCTGCCATGTAAACTAAGTAGAACAAATTAAAATAATAAATATAATTAAAAGAAAAAATTTCCCTGTTGCTGTCAATAAGAAAATAAATGAAAAATATTACAGGTCGTCCCTCACTGATGTTTGATTGTTTTCGACATCTTCCACCAGAACTTGAAGATAGAGATAAGTGTAGGGGATAAGATACTTAAATAACTTAAAAATAAATTACTTAGTAATAAGAAATTAGACATACTGCATTCTTCCATTTGTTACAAGAACAAGCTGACAATATTATTTTAAAACAATGCTCACTCTACAGAGGGTGGTAACAGTAAGACTTTCCACTACAGGATAACCTCTGCTTTCCCACACAATTAACATTACTATTCTTTCATGATACCTATTCATGTGGAAAAACTGTTGAGCTTTTGCCAGATCCAGGACATGAAAAACAGTGTCATAATTAGCTAGTTTGTAAGCTTTGTGTACATTTTTGGAATGGACCCATAAGATATAGCCATTGTTTTGTTAAAACATTTAAGAACTGCAGAGTTCCTCAACCCTTCTCTATAGTTCCTGCTCAAAATCTTACAGCTGGGAACAGGCTATTTTACCATAGTAGGCAATGCACAATGGTAAAATCCTAGCAGTAAAGCCAGGATGCCAATGTTCAGGACAGGAACAGCCCTGTCAGGCCTGCCCCCACCCCTCTTTCAGTTTGCTGAGGTAGGCTGACAAAAGAATGGAGCCTGTGATAAAGAGGAAGATGTCAACTGGAGTTACGGCTCAGTGGTAGAGCACTTGCCTGGCATGTGTGAGGCCCTGGGTTCCATCTTTAGCACCGTATATAAATAAATAAAATGAAGGTCCATTGATAACTAAAAATATATTTTTAAAAAAGAGAGAAAGGTGTCAATCAAAAATAGTACAGTGACCTGTGCCCAAGCCTGCAATCCCAGTGACTCAGGAGGTTGAGGCAGGAGAATTGCAAATTCAAGGCCAGCCTCAGCAATTTAGTGAAACCCTGTCTTAAAAGAGAAAGATCTGGGGCCAGGCATAGTGGTGCATGCCTGTAATCCCAGCGGTTTGGGAGGTTGAGGTAGGAGGATTGCAAGTTCAAAGCCAGCCTCAGCAATGGCGAGGCACTAAGCAATTCAATGAGACCCTGTCTCTAAATAAAACATAAAATAGGGCTGGGGATGTGGTTCAATGGTAAAGCACCCTGGGATTCAATCCTCACCACCAAGAAACACAAACAAAAAAACCCAGCACAGTAGTACATGTAACAGCCTTATGAGGGATTGAAACAGACTGAAATTAAGGGCCCCTCTAATATTGAGAAATTCTTCATGTTGAGAGTAAAGGCTGAGAGGGCTGCAAGCCCCGGGCCTGACAGGTGGCCAGGGAAACTGAGATTGTGGATCACCCACTCTTTTGGCCCCTGCAGTACATACTAACTAAATCTTCA